CGGTAGTCAACAGCCATACCAGTGTTCAATACATGTAATAATCATATATATGTAATAAATATCATGCATACATGTACCAAAAAATGGTACGTTATTCCCATTAATGCGCTAGTAATGCAGCAAGCATACGGCATTACTACGGTATTCCTTTTGCAATGCGTAAATCCCGTAGTCATACAGTACTGATTTCACCCCGTTTTTTTGTATTGTATTTATACGCTTGTATGTAACTGGGTACCGTATTTCATAGAGCTAGAATGGAATGATGCCAAGCGATTCAATTGTGGCATGATCAACACAAGCATCATGCAAGCTATCGCTTATTTCAACCTCATCCCCAGAGAAACCCATATTCTACCTAGGCCTGTTCCCTAATATCCCAGCTACCTTCATGATGTCAATGCCAATAGTATCTCTTATCTCTCTACAAGACAGCTCAGAATGCGCCTCAAATCTCCTAGAAGCTGCCCAGACATTAGGCTTCGTCTACATCACTTCCGAGGGTAGCAATATCTCCACAGAAAAGATAGATCGCATGTTCCAGTTGGTGCGCTTACCCTCGCATTATGGCTGTTCTTACCTGGTTCATAGCTAATCTTCTCGTTGTCATCCGCTTCAAGTGAGCTATAGTCCAAGAAATTCTTTTCGTCTCCTAGAGAAGAGAAAGAGAAATGTCGAATATCAGCAGACAACAAGGGATGGTCATCGATGCACTCGGAGACTCTTGATCCTCAGAATCAACGAAGAGGGGATTTTAAAGAGTAAGTATATTTCTCTCTAGAGTTCAGCAGAGCGCTTACACTGGTTTAGAGCATTTAACTTTGGTGAGTTTAAGGACGGCAAAGCTCAGCAACCTATGCCCGCGGCTCTGAGTGAGCACGAAGCCGAACTCAGCGAATTCGCAGACCTATGTCATAGCCTTTGTTTAAAGCTTCTCCGCCTCTTTGCTATTGCTCTAAAGGTATATTATCCCTTAGATACTACACGTTCGTTAAGTTCTCGGGTATGATGCAACAGCATCCGACGGTTTAACGAATAAACAATTGCATATATGTTCATAATTCAGTCATTAATAACACTCGCAGATCGATCATTCAGAAGGGGGAGAGGACTGGTTCACATCCCGTCACTCGGACAACGGTCCATCCGGCTCCATTCTTCGCCTCCTGCATTACCCTTCTCTCCCGGCTGATTCCGATTACTCTCCCACACTCGATATTCGTGCAGGTGCACACAGCGACTATGGCTCTGTCACACTATTATTACAACGTGCTGGTGAGCCTGGACTTGAAATCCACCATCCTGTCACCAAAACCTGGAGTCCCGTACCCGTATTAAAAGATGCTATATTGGTGAACATCGGTGATTTACTATCGTATTGGACAGCGGGGTTACTACGATCCACAATTCATAGAGTCACATTCCCTAAAACCCCGGGAGTGGCCCCAAATGATAGATATAGCATTGTGTATTTCTGTCATCCGGAAAACAGTACGTTATTAACGCCGATACCAAGTGAGGTTGTAAAGGGAAGAGGGGACAGGGGGGCGAATGATACAGAAAGGACATTGACGGCAGATGATCATTTGCGGGGAAGGCTAAAGGCTACCTATGGGTGGAAATAATAACCGATGGGTATGTATCTACAAGTATATATACATCTTATATGTACAGTACCAAAAAAAGGGGATGTAACAGGTGCTATAGCAATACGGAATTGTGCAAAACTTCCTAACTATTATACCGTTGCAATACAGACCCTCGCGGCATTCTGATAGATAAGGTACTGGATCCACCCGCATTTTTGGTACAGCACCTGCATACATGTATATATCGAAGTTATAATCCTGAGACCTACGAATTTTGCGGGGACCTCTACACATTCTGTATCTTCACGTTCAAGTGTTTACATTGAATTCCCATCCTAAACACGGCTTCAATGGTTACACGTACACATTGAACATTTAATAAGTAAGTATGTACACAGACGCACCAATTATTCAATGTGTCTTTTAAAGCTTATGATTGACCGAGTTTGATAAACCTTTCCTTTGCTTCCCAGAAAGTTTATCAAGCTTATTAGTTTGAGTCAGTCGAGAAATAATGCCATGGAAGATGGGTGCAAAAGGCATTTTCAGGTTTACTGTGATCTTTGAGTTGGTAAAGTCACATAAGCCCAGCTGTTCTAGCCACATAACTCTCTACTTAGGCAATGGTCTGAAAAACGCTTGTATGTACATAAGTACATGTCTGTATGTAGCAACTTTTCAATACTATTTACACTACAAGACCATGATATAATACCCTCTATTCATCTAAATACCTAAGTACGTGTAGTTGATACAAATCTAAAATCTTTAGCTACAGTAAGAAACATATCAAAGATCCTCAACCAAGATGTTTGACCCCCAACCTGTATATATTCCCACCCATACCCATCTACCCAAAAGACGTATTTGAAAAGAAAAATAATGCAACTCCTTTTTTCTTTTTCTTTCCCTCAGAAACTCCCACCCCATTTTTATTCCCCAACTATCTAATATCCAAAATAATAGTCAACCTTGATTATAGGACTTTTACTTTAGTCAACAACCACATTATCTAAGAACCATCTATTCTCAATACTCCTCATCCATTTATTCGTTTGCTCCGCAAGAGTAAGTGTCAGGATGGTGTGCGGCAATATTCTTGCGAGGTGTGCAAAATATCCTTTATAAATCGCTAGCACCCCCTCCGTCTTAATGGTTTTCTTTACACAATCCCAGATGCCAGAGTAGAGATTCCCGGTTTGGTTATACATGCGGGACATAACCGTGTCTGTCAAAAAGAAAGCTGTTAGAATCACCCATGTCCCACTAAACTTTCATGGAGAGTAACATACCCGGTGGGTGCATAACACAGCAGACCACGAACCCACTCACCGCACTACTCGCCAGGTGTAGTCCCACGCCATCTTTAACGCCCGTCCACTGCTCAATTCTTCGCTTCGCGAAGAAGTATGTGGGCAACTGCACACTGCTTCCGAACCCAGTACGTACCATCGCAGCTCCTACGCCGCGGTAAAGACCTTTTATTCCCTCTGCTGCATGGATTTGGCGGAATCCATCAATTGCGCCTTTATATTTATGTTGAGTGCCTACTGGGAGGAATGGCGAGTGTGATTGCAAGCGGGTCTTGACAAGGAAGAAGGGAGAACCGATGGCGGCGCCGAGGATCCCGGAGGATGCTCCGCTAAAGACATTGATGCCGAAAGATTGCTTTGCAGCATCATCGTACACAAGGGATGTGAGGGTTGTACGGATTGGTTCGTAGAACCCCAGGCGACAGCCGTTCAGCATAGTTTGGTAGCAGTACTGGATAACATCATTAATGCCTTCTCTTATATGATTACAATTATAAGACTTTAGCTAAGAGTAGCTTATTCGGAACTTGGTTGCGATTGCCCAAATGCTTTTGTGACGGTATCGGAAATGGGGTGGGGTAGAGGAAATCATACAGCAGCGCCCAAACCAGCCATTAAGCCCCTGATACCCTCATTTCGCAAAATAACAGCAACTCCTTGGAAAACACCGGTATAGACCCTTTTTGTCTGGGATTTCGCCGAGAGCTCTCCCTGCAATTGCAGCCTACACTTTTTGTATCAGTAACAGTTTTGCCATAGGAGGCGGAAGAGAACTTACCTCGTCTTCACAGTTTCAAATCCATGTGTCACTGTTACGGCACCGCAAGCAGCGATTCCGCCAGACAAAAACCCGCCGAGAGTTGTGGACATCCCTCGTACACTTGTGGATTGACTACCGTGAAGGCCCGCAATGACAATTGGGGTTGAGCGACGATAGAGAAAGGTTGTTTAGATTTTCCGAGAGAAAAAAAGATGGACTAGTAATTGCAACCAAGTAGCCAAGACCTGATCAAGATCATGCATGCAGGGACATAGAAGAGAAAAATAGACTGGTACAAATAGAGTGGCCGACGACAGCCAAAGATCTACGATACCTAAGGTGAAGAAGAATTTACATCCATTCTTATTCAGCTATACAGCTCAGCAATTTAAAGGACACTTTTACATTAGAAATCTTACCCGGGGCTAGAGCTAGGGACAATCCCGAAGAACTCAGTGAAGAGCTACAAAATCATTACTCATCCCGGTGCTACTAAGTGATGCCACATGTGACTATATTACAAACGCCAGAAACAATATCTGCATGGTGCTACTAGAGTAATGTAGAGTACATGTAGGTAAGTACATGTACCTACATACGTACCACAAGACCAACATATAAATCAGAACGAGTCTCTAACGTACAGTATCAATTATAATTTAAACCGAATACCTAGTCATGAAGGCCCAAGATGCATGTAGTACAATATATTATGTAGATAGAGTACTTGTATTGCTTGGGGAATACATGTACATACAGCAAAAGCTTGCTATAACGGTACGCTCGGGACCGGGATTTGGTACCGTTATAGAGAGATTACCCTTATATAAGAGGTGATTGTGCTGAAATCCGGGGATTACCCTTATAGAAGGTACTGTTATAGAAAGCTTTCGCTGTACCTACATGTAGCGTCCTACGTGTATGTAAGCGTATGCATCGGTGTAAGCTACATGTCTAGAGTATCCCCTTCTCCGTATTTGCCAAGGCCGGTAGATGATACTTTATCTGAGCCAGGGGTTAGGGCTGAAGTAACGCGACTTCCTCAAAGTCAACTGCAGAGCCTCTCTCAACTATCACGAATCTGCTCAAACAATACCCATTGCCACTCTTGACCAAACTTTGGTGAGTGATAATTTTTAAAAATCTTGCTATTCACAACCCCCCAACCCCCCCCCCCCCCCCCAAACGTTCAGTCATAAGTACTTTATCTAACACAATTCGAAAGTCCAATACCATAGATTCAGATATCCCGATAGATCCAAGTTCCCCGCCGGTCTCAGGAAGAGCCTTGAAAAGCAGCCAAAGGGGGAGTAGAAGGATTGGTATAAGCGGAAGAAAATGACCACCAATACGGCAACCCCAGGCACTAGACACCCTGAAACGGTCAAGCTCCAGGAAACAATTCACCGTTACCGGCCCTCTAAAGCATTTTCCAACTTTGCAAAAGGCGCAGAAGTAACATCCCTCGATTTCGATGATACTGGTGAATTCTGCATAGCAGCTGGTGATGATGAAACCCTCCAACTATACGACTGTAAACTTGGGAAACACAACAAAACGCTCTACAGCAAAAAGTATGGATGTCATCTTGCAAGGTTCACACACACGCAGAGTAATGTAATTTATGCTTCGACCAAAGAAAACGGTACAACTCCCCATCCTTCCTGGTCTGTATGTCCGCTGAAAGGTATGTAGCTGCAAAACAGAGCTGATCACGGGCCCTCCATGGGTACAGACACGATTCGCTACCTCTCCCTTCATGATAACACATTCATCCGTTACTTTAAAGGCCACAAACGGCTTGTGACATCGCTAGAGGTCTCCCCAGTAGACGATCAATTTATATCTTGCTCCCTCGATGACACTGTCCGAGTGTGGGATCTTCGGACCCCCAACTGTAACGGTCTTCTCAATATCTTGTCCCCATCACTTGCTGCATTCGATCCTTCCGGTATCATCTTTGCCGTTGCTTCTCACGCATCAAGCTCTATCTTGTTGTATGATTTGCGCAACTATGACAAGCAGCCTTTCACAACCTTCACCCTAACGGACGACACATTCCTCCATGCCTATTCATACCCAGCTCGTATGCCTGCATGGTCGAAGCTCGAGTTCAGTAATGATGGAAAACATATGTTGGTTGGAACTCGGGGACATGCCCACTATGTTATTGATTCGTTTGCGGAGAATACCTCGCAGTTTCTATATAGGACTAAACGGCCAAATGGGCCCACAAATCCGAAAAAGATTGAGACTTCGGGTGATGTCTGTTTGACGCCTGATGCGAGGTACATAGTTGGAGGGCAAGGCGAGAAGGGAGTCGTGGTTTGGGATACTTGGGTACAGCCAGATGACAAAAAAACACTAAAGCCATTTGTGGAATTGGCAGAAAATAGTAAAGTTATGGCAAGTGTGGTTGCTTTCAATCCGAAAATGAACCTATTTGCAACGGCGCATAAGGATGTGGTAAGTCTTTCTGTCCATATTCTTTCTTCTCTCGCTGTGAAAGGGCCAGTGAGATGGAATTATGATGCTCGGAATCTTGATACCATATATCGAGATCTGGCAATGATTCTCGGCACCCTTTACACTCCTACCTGTCTTTCTTCCACCCACTCTTCTCCACGGAGCAATACTATGAAAGAAAGAACTTAGAGTCTTCTTGTTTTTGGACAAAGATACGTCTATCAAACAGTCGGGCCTTATTCTTTCTCTAGTAGTGGCAGAATCATCCTCTTTAACCGTGGTCACTTGCTAACCTCATATATCCAGACATTCTGGCTCCCGGAACAGCATGCCCCAGATGCGCCAGCCTCCGAGACGCCGGTGGCAGCAAGATAGGGGGATGGGGATGTTTCATCGTCATATCAATCAAGTGGGCTTTTCTTGGTTTGCTTTTGTTTTATTTATCTTTCCTTTTCGTCTCCTCCATGATGGGTCCATTCATTAATGTAATAATACTTTTATCCTGAGGAGTTAATTTCCGTTACTGCTTGGGACTCTTCTACTAGAGCTCACGCAATCCGGTTATTACTTACTTTTCCAGACAAAGCGGTGCTGAGAAAGAAAAAAAGGGGGAAAGTGATTCGAACTGATGATTAAATCGAGGAAAACTGAAAGAAGTCATCCGCGATGTCCCCGATCTTTACGAATTAAGCCATGTGATGGTAAATCTAGTCTAGTATCAATTACTTACTCCATCCAAATCAAGGGCGATTCTATCAAGTTCAGAGATAAAAGAAACAGAATATACTCGTGCTGTACTTCCCTACTGCCATAGGGTAGGGCAAATGTATGCCTAGGTAGAGTATAATACATGTGGAGTACTTACCTGTACCTCTCCCCAAGAGCTCCTCCAAAGGACCCAACTAGAGTACCCCCTAATGCGGGTAACCAAGAAAGAAAGTTAGACATGCCAACCAGGTGCTTGCATTCAACAATCCAAACCCTGACTTCGTACATACATTTCTTCTTCCTCTACTGGGCATCCGACCTTTCGGGACAAGTACCCAGGCACCGATGCAATGTCAAGTCAATCAACACCAAGAGGTGGGCCCATGTCGAGCCCTATCTAACTCGAGCCACTGCGAACATCCACAAAGTCCAAAGCCAAAGCCGTATCCAACCACAGGATATTGCTACGACCAGCTAAAAACTCAACCGAAATTGAAAATGAAAATGAAATATTGCGAAAGGAAACCCAATACCAACGTGGCTACGCTAAATGGAAAAAAAAATTACATGAGGAAAAAAAAGAAACAAAATGTACACCGAAAAAAAAATATCAAACAGGCTGGGGAAAAAAATCCTCAAAGTTGGTATGCAACGTTCAAGAGATGCGTGATCGCAGGCGTCAACTCCTGTGCTTATTGGAAAAGGCTCGTCACGTCTTTCCGCGTCATGCACGACAACACTTCCCCGGACCCCATTCCGCCGGTGGGGAAGGATTAAAGTCGCAAAAGCAAAACATCAAAAAAGTAAACCTCAGTGTTCATTCCGGAACTCGTGAGCGAATCAGGTGACAACAACGTGAGAGAAAAATAGAGAAAACCCTGGAGCCCAAAGAGAAAAAGAAATATGGCACATAATTAGTTGGGCATAGCTCAGAGGCACAGGTTGGCCAGAGTAGAAATGATTTACAATGTAGGTCGAACGCCTGGGTTTTTCTTTTCACAGCATTGAGTTGCATCTGTGAGTTTCGTCGTGACCTGGTTAGCGGCAAATATAAATATAGGAGGAGCGAGATGGTGGAAAGGGATCGCGAGATGAGAGAAACGGTATGGTAAGTAAAAAAAAAAGAAATTGTGTTTCCGGAAAATAACTCACTTGACGCAAAGAAGCTTGTGTTCCCCCTTCTTCGATTGTTTCGCTCTGAATGAGGTTCCCCCGCATCTATGTTCCGCCAGTCAGTCAAAGAACGGTACACGCTGCCGGTGGCTGGAGAAGTGCTATAATTTTGTGTTTATTGAACTCGGGGTTTCAAAATTAAACATACCTTTTGCACCTCACAGTTTCATTTTCACTCTCTTCACCTTCATCGCTACTGAAGACTTCTTCGTCAGATTCATCTGAGTCAACCGCGCTCAATCTATGTCTGCTACTTCCGGCTGAAGCCCTAGTCATAGGCATCCCCGAGTTTCGGTCCTGATTCGCTCCTTGGCCCCTCAATCCATTGCCAGTCTGATTCTGCACAGTACTTCTTGGTCGTTCCACATCAGGTAAAACTTTGCCATCTGCACTTGAAGGAATACCATGCCCACGGTTTGTACCGCTGGCCACGGTGTATGCATTGTGGCCATTATGTATTGGACCATCTACCCCAATCGAGGTTGCTCTTGACGCTCTCGAACGAACACTTCCAGACCTCATAAACCGGTTTGAGGTGCTACCAGACCCAATCGACATTGCCCCCATCGATTTCCTTGGAGAAACACTTCTGTTTGATGATCCGTCCAAACCAAGGCTGTTCCTGTGACCGCGAATTGAGCCTTCGAGACTACCGTTAGATGCAATGCTTTGTCGCCACGATTGGATTCGATCTGAGCCGTGGTGAGAATGTGATGAATTTCTCCTCCCATGACCATTAAATAGGCTATCTCCAATCTTTTTCGAAAGGGTTGATGCAGTATCAAAACTATCACTCTTGCGCTTGTTAAATGCGCAATCCTGTCGAAATACTTTTATACGACCAGTGTAGTCTGCGGTGACTATAATATTCCCATCGGGATGTGTTGACCTTTGTAAATACGCCGGAGACTCCTCAGGAGGCTTGGGAATATTGAGGACAGAGCTATCTTCTGATTTATGATCCGCCAATGATTCGGGGTGCTTTTTCGACGATATCGAGTCAGAACCTCGACTAACAAGAGTTACTGGTGGTGGATTGCACAAATCATATAGAGGATCTCCGGAACCTCCCAGCAGCTGCCGAGTCGCTGTTGGTGCCATGATCGCAACCGTAACAATTGCAGGATGGGCTGCAGAGACATTAGGCCAGTGCTATATGATGACTATTGCTATGGAAGAGATTTTACCCTCAAAATGTTCAGCAGGCCTTTTGTCCTTTCTCTCTGCCTCCCCTGACCCAACGTTCCATATGTAGACCCTCCTATCTTCACTGCCGCTGATGACGTATTGGGCATCATCGCTGAATGTGGCGTGGATTTGACTGCACGTATTCTCGTTGCCCTTAAATTTCACTTCAAGGCTTTTGTCTCTAGCATTGTACATACGCACCCTTGAATCATTGCTGGTGATCAAAATTTTAACTTCGCCATTTGGATCATTTGGCGGGAATGTGATGGTTTCGATCCCGGTAATCTTACTCCCTTTTGCGTTCTTTCCATGAGATGATCTTACGTGAACTTGAGTGTGATATCTCAATCCCTCGGTTTCATAAAAAAGGCACAACCCGCTCAGACAGCCCGCAATTGCCATTCTCCCATCTGGGGTAAATGCTACTGCAGTTATTAAGTCGGGAAGCTCGTTCCAAAATGCCACGCTTTTATCAGGTATGCTCCAAAGTCTCAACTTAGAATCAAGCGACCCAGCCAGAAAAAAACGGTCATCTCGAGGATGAAAGCAAATGGCGGTGACAAAATCACTGTGCTGAAAGCAGCAAAGACATTCCTTTCTAGAGACGTGCCATAGCCGTACAGTCTTATCCATTGAAGATGAAAGCAAGAAATTGTTCTGTAAAATGTTAGTCAAATAACACAGCATGTACACCCTGTGATACCAGGGACTTTTGCTTCAAAGTCACCGACCTTACTCCAACTTAGATCCAATACATCTGCCGTATGACCAGTATATTCATGGATAGGCTCCGAGCGAAATACAGGAGCGTTCAACCGAACTCCCCTTCCGCCAGAGTAGATCCCCCCTGACCCAGCTTCTTCCTCTTTTTCGTGCATTTCCCGCTCCTCTTTGGTACTGATAACTTGCCATACCCGTACAATCTTATCCTGCCCGCCCGCTGCTATATAACGGCCATCTTTGCTCCATTTCATAGCCCATATAGCTCCACTCTTATGTGCTGGGATGTTACTAAGTGACGCCGTCGATAAATTGAACTTACTAGCATTGGGCGACTTTGGATGCTCCTCATGTTTTCGGTAAAGCTCTTGAGCAAGAAATGTTTGATCAAACTCACGCTTGTGTTTGTTTTGTGAACGAACCTTAAAAACAAATATTTTAGCTCCCAGAACCTTCACACCGGATTTAATGTATAACTTACCCTTATATATTTCGGAGGCGCCGGGAACTGAGGTGTAAATCCATGTCCGCCAATTGGCTCAGAGAAAACATGAGCATCCATCCCCTCCGTCCTCATGTCAACCTCAAATCCATCTTCATTCTGAGGCGCGTCCCCACCCTTTTTCTTCCCACCCATTATCCGGCTAAGGAAAGAAACGCCCTTTCTACAAACTCAATTTAGACCCTCATGTCCTACAAAATCTCGGAGAGGGTGAGATATACGAACTTCTTCTGGGGTTGTGTATCCATATGCCTAATCGTGTCCGAAGGATTCCTCTCAGGAATAGCCCCCATCACACCCTCATTTTGCGCATCATCATTGCTATCCTTCCGCGCCTTCTGTCGAATCGTATTCTCGGTTCCTGTACGACGGAGGATCTGCATTGTCAATGGGTCCGCAAGTGTTGTACCTTCACGCATGGGCACCCCTTTCCTTCTCGCAGTACTGGTCGTGGGAGACTGAAGCCTTTCAGTGTCGAGTGCTAAAGTTGAATTTGAAAATCTGGACTGTGATCCATTCGAGAATGCCGTGGATCCGCCAGCAGTCGTGGGGACTAGGAACCAATCCCACTCCGTCAGCGTTCCAGCGCCCAGCTAGCCCAGCCTTCCTTTGATTCCTTACCATCATTACCTGATGTTGTCGGGCGGCCGTTCTCAGAACCAATGTCGTTCACGATAGTTCTTGGAGCACTCGGGGAGGGCGAGACAGGAACTCCAGATTTTGATATCTTAATCGAAGGAAGTATCGAGGGTAGAATTGAAGTTGTCATTGCGGTCATTAATTTGGCATGTGGAATTGTTGGTTGCAGCACAGACTTGAATCGTACACAGATCACAGATCACTGTATAATCGTTCCTTATCTGTTTCACGCTGCAATAATGACGATCAAAAGTAGGTACTGGAGAAACAAAAGGTGGCTTAAAAGTTTAAAGTACAGCTGAAACTGCCCTTAAATTTCACTTCGTAAGGCAAATATCTAGATAGTAAGTATGACGTTGATGTAAGGTACTTCGCAAGCAAGCAAGCAGGTATCGCAAAGCAGGAACCCGGTGAAGACCAGATAATACCTAGCTGGCAGGGAGCGATTCATCCGATGAGAGATCTCTGAATGCCATGTCTTGCAGCCACCGTGGCTATTCAACACGGTTAATGGTATGTTCACTGTTACATCACATCATCGGTTGCCGGGCACGGACGGTCAACGTTTCCGGTTCCGGACAGGGTATATACCTACATGTAGGCACTTGCTTCCACAAGAGCTTGTAGTAGTAGAGACGTTTCGCAACCAGACTTTGAATTAAATATGGGATGGGATGTGATTGGAGAATGAAGGCCTAAGTGGGGCAGAGTTACTGGAAATCTTCCTGATTGAGATCAAAACACTCCCAAAGCCCGTTAATCGAAACTTAGAGCTCGTTGCTTTGAGCTATGGAAAGAAAAAAGGACAAGTGAGAGTTCGATTAACGGCTTTGTGGAGTCAAAGGTGTCCTTCTTTGGGGAAAAATCTTTGGGAATCCGTCGTGTCAACCAATCATGAGTCTGGTCGCGAGCCGAATTTAATATTTTCTTGCGAAACCTCTCTAATGAGCATTTTGCATCTTGCAAGAGGGAAGGAAAGATAAGAGCAACTGGCGGCATTTTTGAAAATGATGCTTCATTGTCGCACAAGGTCACACCTCACTAGAGCATTATCTAGACAAATCTGCCAAGTAGAGTACCGCAGTATTTGAGAAAATTCGTCAGCAGGGGTATTCTCTACAAAAACTTGCATATTGACTTCCAAATACTGCCTCTGGTTGGCTTATACCCCTGCTGAGGCGCAACGAATATTCTCAAATACAGCGGTACCTCATCGTCATCCGGCAAAAGTCCCCAGACTAACCCTATCTCCCGCAAATGCAGTTTGAGTCTGCCCAGAGCCAGATGATCCAGTGATAGGCCACTAGCAGTGCTAGTGGCAGTGACGGTCCAACGGATTCGATAGTTCGGTTGTGATCCAGTCGCACCGCTTTGCGCGCAGCTTTGCATCGTAAATCGGCCAAGACTTGATAGTACCTGCTACATGTATGTATGTATATACACTACAATCCTCGGACTGATACTTGTTTTGGAACTGCTCAAAAAGCTATCTACATGTAATACCTACATGTAGGGTATGTATCTTTTGGATACCTAGAGTAGGTACATGTATCGTTATGGGCTGGAATTGATGGTATCACTCGCGATCATCTTCATAAAATAATGATTAGCGATGTCAAGGGCGTTTAGAAATCATAAATAAGTCCCCACTCAAGTATCTACAACTATAAAAACAAGTTTGGGCATACGACCTCGACCAATCCGTAACTCATCTATACATGACAAACATGACAAGCAGAAAGGTTTCGTGCACCACATATCACTCGGATAAACACTTTCGCCAAGCCTTCTTGCTGCATACATTGGCTAACAAGACGTGAGACTCCTACTGTCGTTCACGGTGTGCCAGCGGACAGGGAGTTTGTGCCAATGAGAAAGAGCTTAGCCGTCCTATGTATCTCCTCTTTTTGGTTTAATCCCTAAGAATCCAGTGTCCGTCACAAGTTAACCAGTGAACGTCGACAATGTTTTCAAGTAGCGACGGGGGATCATAGAAAATTAGCTTGCCGAGCCTTAATGTTATCAAGCCGTCAAAATGTGCAGCACTAGTTGTGTTTGCCGTGCACAGCGGTGAGAACAGTGGGCAAGTGGACATCAGTGCAAATGTGTATCATCGACAGCAAGGATCCAAAACCCGGAAAGGTTGCTTGTCATAAATAGTTTAGACTGGATACACCACATTTAAGATACAGTAGATCTACATAGGGTTTGTTGTCTGCTGAAGAATGAACCGTTGCGATTTGGGCTGATGTCGGTATGGGTGTCAGTGTGGAGCTCGTAGCGAGTTAGAATTTCTAACCATAAGGCTATTTGACATCCTGAAGTGGGAGGTGGTTTGTTCATATTTGTTGGGATTCCTTCAGTAGAGTATTTACTCCGAAATTGGATCTTGGTAGCCCTGATACTTCCTATTCCTACTATAGAGATACATAGACCAGATAAAGCGATGCATCATGATTTTTTGATTCATGATACTGCAGCTGAGTTGAAGCATTAAGTGTCAATGACAGGATGTAGGTGCAAATTCTGCTCCGCTTTCCAAGAGTCCCTAGATGTCCACGGAGATGGTTCACCATTATCCTTTGCATCATTGGTAATTCCATTAAAGAGTTTCTTATTTTTCCTGCGTGTCTCAAGTTGATTCCAAATTAGACACCGTGGAACTCAATAAAGCAAACGGTACAAGATTACTACTTCTGGACACCTCCTCGAGCACATATGTAGGGCCTACATCATTGCCTGCTCGTGCCCTGCAGTATGTAAACTGTATCATTCGATATCCCTTCCACCGGGGATGGCCATTTGATCAAAGCTCACGCCGTACTCTATGGCCTGCCTACCTACTCTACCTACCCAGCTAGGTAGAATTCGCTCTGCGGGTAAAAAGCAAAATGTATCATAATACTTAGAGTACCTATTCGTGCATACAGTAATCTACTCGCAGCAGATAACAAGTACCCGAAAATGCACGTCCTAATCTGCAATTTCCATTGGAGTAGAAGTCAAAAATACACCAAAAACTTGCAGCTGCATATTCGGGTACTTCATGCCCGTCGCGAGTACTCTACTACCTACTCTAAACCATGGTCATAGGTGTTCTCCATATTTCTAGATATAGTACTACCACTTTTTAGAGCCGATCTTTGCCATGTTCGGCAGTTCGTTAGAGTACCTTGTTCGCTTGCCCCGCCGCTAATCTTGAGCGCCAGAATTCGGATGAACCGAGATGCTCTTCGCATATCGACTCTAAAGTACAAGCCAACCTGACATCTGTTTAAAGTTATTGTAGGTCTGGGCCCTGGTACCTACCATCGAATAAGTACCATCATGTGGGTAAAAATTTGTTTCGCTTTGTCGACATATGTACATACCTAGGTACCTACTTAGAAGGCAAAACAGAAAGTGCTGCAGGAACCCCAGAATTGAACATATCTGATATTGAAAATCCAGCACCCTTACCACGCGAGCGAGCGGCCGCTCGATCACGCTGAATCTAATGATCAGAACCCGAAATATCGTGGCATCCAACCTATGATTGCCTTGCGATGTCTCTGTCCTACCTGCCGCGTCTCCACACTCAAATATATGAGTACAGTAGCCAACAGCTGTCCCCCCAGTCAAGAGATGCACGTACCGCAGTTACAGGAGTCGCGCCATTCAATGACCCTCGTTATATATATTTTATTTTTCTAGGTTGCATTGCAATGCAAAGTTGTGGAGGTTTTGTAGAGTATTCTGGAGTACCTATGTAGGTACTCCACTCCTCAACTACTGCTTGACCCATTCGACTATGATGGACTCGAGACCTGAAAATCAACCCCTCTCCCTCTAAGCAAGTGCTCCTCCGCCCCTCAATTCTGAGCTTGGTGGAACCCAAAAAGCAAATCCTCTGCAGTCCTTAATTCCCAGGTCAGAAATCGTCGCTCAGAAGCCTTATGTTTTTCCTTTTTGGGAGCGTAATGCACATCCCACAACTTGGTGGACCTTTTTCTTTCCTGTATCCATACCGAACCGTAAAAAAAAAAAAAAAAAAAAAGAACTCACCTACTCCAGAGCACGGATGCTAGTTGTCTCAGATTTCTATGCAGGCTGTGAATAAGCGCGAATGCCGACCAAAATTTTTTGGGCCAACGAGGACAGGGTACCAAGGGGCTTGGGGGCGATTCTCGGAGGACACAGACACCCTGGGAAATGTGGGCACACGACCCCCCTCTTCTCTTACCCGTGTTCTGAAAGCTACTCTCGACATGTGTAGGAGATCTTTGGGCACTTGAGGACCCTAAGAGTACGTGAGGCTGCCGTGGGTTGAACTTGCCGCGACCTGTGTGCCTTTTCTTGTCCTGCACGCAACCTTCCCCACACGCCTTGGACAGCTAGCTATCAACCATCATCAATCAAGCTTTATTATATCTGCTATTCGTACAGACAAGGAGCAGCAGTACTGGAGACTGGGGTTATCTTTTCTGACTTGAATGTGATAAAGAGAAAAAGAGAGATAGACAGAGAGACAGACAGAGAGAGAAAGAGAGAGAGAAGAGAATCATCAACAATCAACATCACTGTAATGGAGCAATCATCATCCCATACTGATCGCGAGGCTTCTTCACCACATCCACAATCACTAAAAACAGAATCACCACTATCATCAACGATCCCCAAAACAGAAACACCATATCCCTTTATTACCTTTACCTCAGTGCCCGTTCCACCAGTCGCATTCTCCTTCCCACTTCCTCCAATCATTACGGCGCGGGCACCGTATTCATGGTCAGGTTTAACGCCGTCTTCAACGTATCCTCGAAAACGAGCTCGTCCGCTTGCCGATGTCGATGGCATCGACAAAGACTGTCGTGACTACAACAAGAAGCGGCGGCTACGGTTAAAATTAATCACCTCCCGTTTGAGCGAGCCATTTGCCATTCCCCCGACAAACATTCTCGATCGGGGAAACTGTTCTCGGGTAGCATTATGGGCGAAAACTCGGGCCGTTTCAAGGCATGTTCTGCGAAAGGCAGCGATTCTGAATAAAATAAAACGAGATGCGATGGCTGCGAGAGCGGCACAGGAACGACAGGTTGAAATCGCCAGACAACAGTACAGGTACAATAGAAAACTTCTTCCAAACCCCCTGCTTGAAAAACCCATCATGAACTTGATATATTCTTTGATTATGGCCGATAATGAGCGAATCTGACATTTCCCCCTTGTGTCATTTCCCAGAGAAAAACTGGCTGCCAACGCAAAATCGAACACAAGAAAAAATCGCGTAGCCCAGTCCAATTCCCCAATAGTCCAAGGGTCACATGTAATGAAAACGCCACGGAAATCAAAAGGTACAATCATGCAGAAAACTTGTGGAGATGCCTCAAGTCTGACAGAGTACATAGATCCATATGGTATACCAAAGCATCATCGTCCTCCAACACCACCAAGCGAAACCGAGCTGGAATACCGGCGTCGTGTCATGGGGCTGGGTATATAAAAGTTGAAGTGCATGCGTGACGGAGAAACTAACGGTTAGAAAAACAAAAATAATAATCATGTTCGGTGGGATTTTGTTTGTGGTTATGATTTCATTTTGGAGAAGCGGAGTATTGGAGAAATGGGTATGTGATTCTTATTGATTTTGCGGGAATGTACAATGAACTTTCATATTTCTCTCTTTGGTTTTAGGAGGGGGTTTGTCGGGATATTTTTCTCTTTCTTCTTTTCTTTATTTTTTTTTATTTTGGTAATTCTGTCATTTCTCATGGTATGTGGCGGTCGGATTTTTGTCCTTTGGTTTGGCATCTGGGTTTATGACGGAAGGAGCTTGTCGACTCTGTCCCTTGCAATATCGCACATTGCCTGCATTTTTTTCGATTTGTATGTTAGTAGGTTTATGGTTACCTTGGGAGAAGAAGCTGGGCATAGTGGGGCAGGAATATAACGAGGAGGTTGAAGAGGGGGAGATGGAAAGGGCGGGGAGCACGTTGATTGCTTCTGTTTTCTCGACTTCAATATCTCCTCGAGCGATTCTTCGCTCCATATCTTCCATAATAAGTGCCCTACTACGGCCATTGACGAAAACGCTGTTATTTGTGTCGAGAGAAGTTTAGCCAAGATGAACCATCAGAGAGAGATGATGAGGGGTAACATACACATATCTCAAACCTAAAAGAAGCAATATTCGTCAGCTTCCAATACAAATATTTCAATATAGGGAGTGGGGGTCTGTAAATAAAACAAAAAAGAGCTATGAACTGACCAGGAAACGTCTCTTCATACTGTTTATTCAGGGCCTTCAGCTTGATCGCCTCCTCCTCACTCTCCGCTGTGAGACTGGCCTGCTCAAGCCTCGAATGCTCGCTGTCGATCCTCTTTTCCCCCAACCTTGGATGTGCTGCAAGAATTTTCAGCAGCCAGGCTGTATTCGACGGCGAATCGGTGTCTTTGAGGTCTATAAGTAGTTGCTTGATCAAAGTGATAACCTCATCATAGTTATCGAACGGCCCAGTGGCCAGGTACTCCAGCGCAAGAGTATTCAATGCATCGCAGGGCTCGAAAAGATGGGCAAGGACTTTTACTCGACCGTCGGTAGGTAAAACTGGGATCGTTGCTGCGCCAGGAAGCCTGTATCTAGACATTACTTGGGGGCGATTGGTAAGGATTTTGGAGGGGGGAGTGGGAAGAGCGCTGTTTAAGTTGATGCGATTCTTCACGTAGAGCACGCACGATGGTATGGTACGGTACTGGCAACGACGGAATGGTTACCGTCAGTAGGGGACAGCAGCGGAATGCAAGATAAGTGCCCGCACTCGCCGGTAAATAAATAGATAAAATACCTACAACATGCACCTGTTGTCTGGGTGTTATTTTATTATTATTTGTAGGTAAGAAGAAGAAGTACTGTAGTGTACTAGGAGCCACGAAGGAGGCCAGGAGTAGCCGCGTTCGAGTTAAAAATTCCCGCGTCTCGACTACCTTGATCCGTCTGGCTGGCTGACTGCCAATCCACAGTTCACGGCGGCCATATAGGCAGCAGCCCAGAGCCCAGTAAAGTACCTACATAGTACTTGCTTACAGCAGCGATAGATAGCCCCAGGATTGGTATGGGGGGTATGGGTGCTGGTGCTGCGATAAGAGAAAGTGGTGAAGTGAAAAACGAAACAGTGCCACGAAAAAGGGTCGCTAGCTGTCCGGCGCTCGGCTTGTCCCGCTGCCACAAACAGCCCTCCCACGCGAGCCCCTGCAGAACCGACAACCTGGGAAAGTCCCCGCCGGTCTTCCCGAGCCCTGCTTGAGGTTGACAAGTGGTCTATGTCGTAATGCGATTGGGTTTTTATTGGTATTTACATCAATATTTCAAACTCAACCCCCCCTGAGGATCAATTGATTCGATGGTCTGTCACACAGTGGGTCACGTCTAGAAGAATGTATTATTGTCGGAATGGGAAGTCTCTATACTGGAATTATACTGGTACTCTAACACTTGTAGCCACTTCATCCAGAACACCTTCCACGTCAATGTGTTTTAAGTACGCCTCTATCGCCTCTGCTTTACTGCCCCAGAGACTGCTTTTCTCGCCCTCTGGCTTCTGCACAAGTTCAATTCGGTGGTTGTACACTTTGTAGAGGGCTAAACTAACCAGCGACGGCGTTGCGAAATCCAAGCCATGCAGTGGCGAAAGACATCTAAATTGCATTGCAGTTAATACATCTTCAAACTTGCAATGTAATTGTCAGCAGAGAACAGAGAATAGTACCTGACAAGCAACTCAAAATCCTTGGTTGCTCTTGCCGATACGCCTCCTGCAACGGCTCTGTGATTTCTTATAAAGACGACGATATCAATGATATGCCTCTTAATCTCTATACTAACAGTAACGTCTTCTGCCATTGCTTTGAGGCTCTCCATTACAGCCGCAGAAACCAAAACACCATTTCCAGATGGGGGAAATCTCGAATCTCGGCGTAACGGCGGTGTCGTAGAGAGTTTGCGTATAACAACTGAAGCCAGGGAGTCGCTGTCTGATCTTTCCACTTCCATTTCTGCTTCTGCTACCTCCCTCTCCACATCTTCCGGAAATCCTTCTTCCGAAGGGTGGTAGTGCGAGATAAAGAAATGGTCACGCTTGTACACAATCAGTTCCAGTCATGTATAAAGCCATAGAGTGGGTGCAAAACCAAATGATTTGTTAAAGTTGGAGGTTCACTAGATTTTACTAGCATAGCGATGAATAAAAATCTCTCCGGGACTTCAAAAGCGCCTTTACGTGTTGAGAATTGCCTTGTCCTCATAAGCTGTGAGGAGTTAGTTGGCTTGAGTTTTAGGGTTTCAGACTCATGAGAGGGCATACCTCTAACGCTTGAGCTTGTACTTGGGGATTTGCTAAATCTAAGTCCCTTGCGATAACTATATTCGCAATCTTTCGTCCATTCATAAACTCTTCCTGTGTGCCTTGTGATTGACTCCGCAGGGTGTTTGAGCGCGATCGATATCCATAATAAGATTCCTAGGTGTAGTATTAGAACACTGCATGTTTGAAGCAAGATTATTGTAAATAACCTCGCGGGATAGAACTGGCGATGCCCTGAACGAGGTCGACCGCGCTCTGGTCTCATCCGGCAACAGAAGGGCCTCTGCGAAATCGTCCAAGCTGGTCTCCGGAGCGCAGTGAACCACTGTTGTCGAAAGGCCAAACACACTTATCGCGGCCTATGCATATTTAAGTTAACCAACGCAGCAAGCACCTGAGGAGAGCTCCAGCTTACCAGCTCTAGCTGTCTTTGTAGCAGGTGTAAACATTGTCCCTCAGTGCTCAGGATGCAATGCTTGTCCGCAACCAAGCATAATAAAACCGCCAGCTCGACATCATTGAGACGATGCACCAAACCCGAGATATATTCTCTATCCATGCATGGATCTATACTCGCTGCAGTCGTCGAGTGGGGAAGGGGGGTGTTTCCCGTAGCTAAGAAGCTCACCAGGGGGAAAGTTGAGGCTCAAATCCCCACATTATTCCGTTACCCGGTTGTCCAGGTCAGCAAGAGCTCTCATCCACCGTTAAACCCACTTCAAACAACTCGTGGGGCCGTCTTTCTCCCCCGCATCGGATTCAAAATGAAGATAACCACCACCCCCCAGGAGTTTGTAGACGAGTCATTACGGCTCCTAGCAGCTCGTCCATCTGCTGTATGATGCCAATTCTACATTTCCATTGCTCTTGCAATTATTGACCGCAGTGCAGACTATAACAACCACATACCATGCAGCCGCATCCGGCAAAGGAAAACTTACAATCAAGACCTATGATCCAGTGTCAGGCGCAGTCATTAAGTTTAGAACCTGCAAGATCGCCGTTGTAGGACGGATGATCGCAGGCCTCAACCGCTTAGGAAGACAGCAAGCCAATGTGCCTGAGCCAATCGTGCCCGGTAATGATAAAATACAACGTTATTTGGCAGGGAGTTATTCTGGATGGCTAATTGGGTTGGACGGGGTACAGATACGCCGGTAGATGCTACACTAGTTTCCACAGTCACATCGGCAACAGGAACGCCGATTTCAGGGCAGGCTACGCCGCTGACAGTAGACACGGGGTCGAAAAATAAGAAGAAGAAGAAGAGAGGAAAGTCATGATTGGGGGCATGTGATATAGATTGAGGGTATGCGGAAAATTATGCAGGGAATAAAACTTTTGGTTTCATGCCCTGTGTATCATACCCGCCGGTTGGTTTCAGGGTGCATGGGAGTTTGGCATTTGGTATCATGAAACGTCTCAAAGCTAAGATTTGCGAATATGCTTAATGGCTATCTTATTATACGTTCCACAACCAGTCAACAACAAACTAGGTTTTTATAGCTTGTGTCTAATGTCTCCGAAGCGATATACTGTAACGAGTAGGTACCTTGTTCCGGGCTTCATCTACCAGCAGTACCTATCGCGACTTGCCTTGGCCCGCAGTTTTTTATTTCCCATCACTAGCAGTGATTTTATTACCGGGAAAAAAAAAAACGGCATAGGTTTGATATCCTGACCCGCTCATTACCTCCACTCATATCATTTCCAACGCACGGGGAAAGCGTTGAATAAGTTTCAGTCTCGATGCGACTGCTTTCTGCAGTTATTACATCAGTTAGCTTAGCACCCAGGCTTATCCATCCCGTGCGGCAGTATTTGTAGAACCCGTAGACACGTTAACGGTTTGAAACACTACTTATAATAATTAATCTTCAGGGCTGAAATAAAACAAGGAGAATATACATACTGCCTATCCCCTTCGAATCCGAGACATGGATTATCACCCGCACTCCTCAAACCAGTGTGGAAAATATTTAGGCGCTTCTAATTACGAGAATAAAAGAAGAAAAACATACATGTACTTAGTACTACATGTACCCTAGCTTTGATAGCGCCTACAACCACATATGCTTGGAATGGTGCGATCACTGTGTGACTTTACCCATGATGATCTGACACCGTGATGTGACCGGGAAATAAGTATCTTGCACCTATGCACTGGTATTTCCAAACATGTAACAGATTATAAATACTTATATATACGCATTATTTACCGATCATTTCATTTCTATTTAGTATATAGATCTATGGAGTTAAGTATACAAAGTTTGAGGCTCGAGCTTTATAAATAAGCCTATGTACATGATTTAGATCATAGATCATCACTCGATGTTCATCATGTTCTAAACATCCAGATATGCCCCGGGCCCAGTTAGTACTGCCGGTCACCGTGCGTCGTGTATGGACCTATCCCCCGTGGTTAGAATTGTGTTTGGTATGGTCATATGAGTCCCATAGTTATACCAAAACTGCAACGACCAAGTATAGTATAATTTCAATAAGGAAGATTCATGCTTCCAATTCTTGGCCTAATTGAGATACTGGTAAAGGTGGAGAGGAAAGCAATAAAAAGACCCTTCGCCTTCAGGGCTCGTTCTTTATGGATATGGCCTAAAAGTGGCCTGTAGAGTCTTTCAGGTATCTAGATAAGGGATGCGTAATTTCAGGGGAGATGGGAAAGCTCTCGGGATTCTGTGTGTATTGCTGGTTGCGCAAATATTACATATTTAAAATGCGAGTACATGTAAGCTAATTACTTCATAGCAGCATCCTCTTTCTGTATTTGGTACGTTATAGATACGACACCCAACATAAGAGTATATCACATATCCATCATAAGGATAAGAATTTCTGATCTTGGCCTCATTAATTTCATCTCTAGAGAATCCATTGAAATTTCATCCTCATCCTCAACCCCATCTCCACCACACCCCCAATCATCCAAACCTCCACCAAACCCCACCGCTCACCGCAAAAGCCACAACATTCGACCCTACCCAAATCCCAACCCACAGCAGAATAATTAGGCCTCTGGTCATAAATCATATAGACCTTAACATCCCATATTCTTAACAACCAACTACAGCTAGAGCTACATGATGAATGATGAATGATATAGATGTCAGATAAGCTTTTTTATGCTCGTAATAAAAGACATCATGCCCTCTCTCTTATCATAAATTAATACCAGAGAAGTGGGGAGGAATAACTAGAGCTATGTATAACGCCGCAATAAAACGCCAGATACGCAGAAGTAGAGAAGAAGGAAGCAGAGAGCAGCAGGAGAGCAGAAGAAAGAGGATAATAAACAGGCCAGACCAGCTAGAAAGAAGAAAAATAAAGATAGCAAAGAGAAAGCCGAATATTACTATAAATCGCTGCCACAACGGAACACAAGCACAACCCCTACCACCAGACGACAAAAAAAAGAAGACTACTGCTAGCTCTACGAGCACCATCTCTGGATATATGGGATGGGGGCAGTGGTAACAATATATTTTTTCCTTCTGCTTCTTATTTAAGCCAGAATCCTCCTCTCTCCTGATTCGCCTATATGATTGAGAGTTTGTTAGTAACAGAGATTTGCCGGCTGGTTGCGAACTCACCATATTGGTCTCCGCTTGCGTCAGGCTCCGCTTGAGATCGTACCAGAGAGCCTTAATCTCTGGCTCGAGATCGTCCGTGACCTGGTTTGCCCATCTCGTGCGCTCTACGACCCACCCGTCGCCATTAGCCCACTTCTCTGTCCGCCCAACCCCCCCCCCCCCAAAAAAAACAAAAAAAACAAACAGAAGCCGGAATCATATGCTCACCCTCAATACTCATCTTCGCCGCCTTATTCTGCCATTTCTCATCAAAATATCCCAAACCCTTCAACGCAAACTCCATCGCCACCCTCAGAGACTTCTTCCAGTGCATAAACATATGCGTCAGCTTCGCCCTCTCGTGGCAGTAGCGGCCCACAAAAAAGTCCCTAGTCTCGGCCGGAATCTCGAACCCTGCGCTATCCTCGCTATTCTCCGCATCGCTAGGCGACAGGTCGTCCAACGTCTCGCGGTCATACCGCGCGCCCGTGAAATACACGACATACGCCGCGGGCCGACTCGTGATGTGGCACGCCTCGCAGGTGGGCCTCTGCGGGCCCTCCGAGCAGACCCTGGAGTGGAAGTCGGGGCGCGCGCGCATCGCGCGTATAAACTCGGGCTGCCAGGCGGCGGACTGGAGCACGCTGCCGCCCATGCTCTCGAGGCGCCGGTCGAGCGCGGCGATGGCAAACTGCGAGATGGGGTCGTCGATAGGGAAGGATGGATTGAGGAGGTACTGCACCATCCAGAGGCAGACGACTTTGAAGTTCTCGCGCGGGGGCTGGTGAGAGCGGTGCGTGTACTCGATGGGGACCTGGTTGTCAGGATGTCCGAGCGCTGTGGCATCTTCGTCGTCGGAGATGATCCAGGATTCGTTGTCGAGGTCATCGTCGGCGCGGGGGTAATGGGGCTCGTCTTCTTCGCCGTCTTCTTCGGGTATTTCTTCGCCGGAGGCGTCGGAGGGGTCGGTGTCGTAAAGGGCGGCGCGGGGAGATTCGGAGGACTCGCTATCGGTAATGGTGATGCCGGCACGCTTTGCTTTGAGCTCTTTGAGTTTCTTCTGGAATGGAGTGAGTTTGGGAGCGGAGCCGGCGTTGCGGGTACGGGTTGAGAGCACGTCTAGAGGTTTGTCAGATGGGCCATACCGTGGGAGTTGAGTGGGTCGGGGGAAAGGTGTGCAGGGAGCTTACGGCGCTTTGGCGCAATGAAGGCCAGATCCTCCTTCAGGTCCTCTTCTTCCTCTTCGTCCAATTCGAGAACGAGCGCTCTTTCCTTACCCTTGTCCTTTCTCTTGCGCCCGGAAGTAATGACGGCCTCATCTTCGTCTTCATCGTCGCCATAGTCACTATCTATCTCAATTGGTTCCCTTGCTTTGCCTTTGCCATTGTCTTCCCTCCGCGCCCGTTTCGGCCTTGGTGTGTCCTCATCGTCCTCGGACATAACCATAGGCACGTATCTCTTGAGCTCCTTCCGCCTCGCGGGCCCAGTATCAATAACCACCGCAAAGCTCTTCCCGCTAGGAAAGACCAGCGCATCATCCTCATCGTCATTTCCAGGCTGGAGCTGTGTTTGCTTTGCCTTGCCTTTCCCTCTTCCTTTCCGTATTGGCGCGGCTTTTGTAGCGGCTTTTGTAGCGGATTTGGTAGCGGATTTCGGTTCGGGCTGTGTTGGTTGCGGCTCCTGCTTGAGCTTTGTCTGCCTCTGCGAGGTTCTCCTGGGCGGCGGCGGCGGCGGGGGAGGTGGTCGTGGTGGTGGGGCACGGCGGCGGGGAGGAGGTGGTGCATCTTCATCGTCAGGAACCGGGACTGGAGCACGTGGTGGGCGGGAACCAGGGCCAGGGGCACCTGCGGGGAGATTCAGGGCTGATTGGTACGCTTTCAACTTGCGTTTAGTGGGGCGCACCATTTTGGGCGATGATGGTCCTGTTTAATGGGACGGTGCTAGTGGGAGTGGGATGCAGGCCGTGGGGGGGGATGAGTGTTGGAGTGTGATGATTGTTTCTGTGAGGACAGCAGGATGAATTGGTTGAACGCAGATATCTGAGATATCTACATGTAACTTGCAAGCAAATCTACAGGCAAGGGAGCTAGTCGTTCTGTTCTGGTTGAGCAAACGCCACTTGCGTCGTTGTCGTAGTCGTTGTCGTAGTCGTTGTCGTAGTCGTTGTCGTTGTCGCGGTTCTGTGGGGGCGTGAGGCAGAACGTGGGAGAGACGCGATCATCACGTTTGTCCGTCTGGCAGCGTTCCCCAGAGAGGCTAGAGTGGCTGACGGTAGAGCAGAGCTACATCCATGTACATGTAACATACGGGCTGCAACCAACCAGCGTCCACAAACAGGCACAACAACTGTCAACCAGCCGGTGACTCTGCCAAGCACGCAACCAGCAGAGCAGAGCACAGGCAGGGTAAGTCCACAACCAGCTCTTCTGAGTAACGCAACCCCCCCAAACCAGCCAAGATCCTCTCCAAGATAAAGTGGCCAGGTAGCGGCAAGTTCCACCCTACGCGCCTCGTCGTGACGCATGCAACGCATCATCGAAGTAAGTATTCCAATTAATGCCCCCTAACCCTACATACCCTCACCACAAAAACCCGGAATCAAGCTTGGAAGTCGATAAAGACAAAGACAGCCAGCCATAACACGCAAAAAGTGATCGACAAGCCAATGATTCCCACCCCACTTCCCCAAGCAATAGTTTTTGCTTGCTTGATTGCTTGATTGCTTGATTGCTTGATTGCTTGATTGCTTGATTGCTTTCCCTCTGGCCCAACGTTTGGAGAGGGCCTGCATAGGCGAGCGAGTGCAGACAAGACAGCGATGCCGTCATGATTGCGCAGCACTGCTTAATATCTGTCTTGGGGGACTCCACCATATCCACCATATCCACATGAAAAAATGCAATTCCAACCAACCAGAGGAAAAAACACTCGACATGACATCGATGTTGATGCCCTGTTTTTGGCCTTTTTGCACGCAAGAGATGGAAATGGAGGCTGCGGAAGACGCAAGTTGTAGATTGTACTTAAGGTGTTAATCGCCGCCTCCAGTAATGCGTTTTCTTTTCAACCATCCTCACTACACACAACTACGAAAATTACCCCGATATTTGAGAATTGTGCTTTGTTTTGCATATCTCGCAATAATACCATATCATCAACCTATTACTACGATAACTGCTATTACAAATTAATCAAATAATCATCAATACCAATATCGATTCACCCAACAACAATCAATACTCAATACTCAAAATCCAATTACTACTCCACTACCACTGATTTGCCACACCCCAACACATAGCCCACCATGAAGAGCAAATCCGTAAATCGACCCGTCGACACAAAAGTAAAAGAAGCCGATATTGAGAACAAGCTCCGGCTGTTTGGCATCTTCCAAGGTATGCATAAACATCCATCACAGCTCCTCACTAGTACTAACAAACCCCAGGCTTCGCATCCGGCAAGCTCCCCTCAAATTCACAGATCGACACCGCACTCAGCTCCTTCTCCTCCCACCCCAAACTACGCAACCCCAACCCTAAACTCTCCGACGAGGGCAAGGTAATCCTCAACGACTTCCGCGCCGTCGTCGAGGAGGCGAAGCGTCTCCTCCTCACAAAGAACCACGACCAGGCAATCCAGGAGTTCATCTACTCCACCACACAGCTTGGCCAGAAGGGCGGTCCCGACGCCGGCACACCGAATGCGCCAGTATCAAAAGACACCGCCGCTAGGGACGCAGAGGAGGCAAAGGCCGGACTGCGAGTACTAGGAGAGCTGGTAATCACCAACGGGTACGTTCCTCCACCGAGTGATAATCCATGATGCCAGCCTAAAAAAAAACATACTGACTCCCCTCTCCATAGTCAATTCCGCAAGCTACTCAATGACGGCGTAGTACTCATGCGCGACATCGCCGGCGACTCGGCTACAAAGGCCGCCGGCAAGGTCCGCCCCGGCGAAGACCAGCTCCGCCAGATCGACGAGCCAGCCCCCGACCACACATGGCACGACGCCCCCAACATGTCAAAGGATAACATCAAGGGCCAGTTCCGCGACAAGTTCAACAAGAACAAGCCACTCGACCGCAGCGACCTGCGCGAAACCGCCAAGACCGCCAATGCCGCCGCCGACCCGCTCAACTCGCGCGAGACACAGCAGACCGCCGACCGCGTTGCGCACGACCAGCGCTACGGCACGGAGAGCGGCGTCGATGCCGCCGCGGGTTTGAGGGTTGGTGCAGCGGAGCTGAGGGACCGTGTCAGCGAGAACACGCCCGAGGAGCACAAGCAGCGCGTGAGGGAGTACAGGGACCGCACGAGGGGGTACATGAGCAACAAGATGCCCAAGGAGCGCCGCGAGCAGGTCATCTTCCGCCTCAAGAAGATGGTGGTTGAGATCCAGTCGCACCAGGACTACCAGCAGGCCATTGACACGCTGCTGCGCCTCGCCGAGAACTACTCGGGTCATGGGAAGTCACTCGCCCGCGACGGCACCGGCACGGTCCAGAGTGCGCGCCAGGACTCGCATCTCGTCAGCGCTGAGAAGTACTTTAGATCTATCATTGAGCGCTTTGCGAACAACACTAGTGCCGACGACCTCTTTGAGGCCATTGACGATGTCTACCGTGATGCCGACCGCGACCCGGAGCTGAAGGAGTGGTTCCGCGGTGTCAACTCGTATATCCGCACCTGCCTCAAGGAGGAGGGATACATCATGCGCGACGAGTCCAACGACCGCTACGACCGCCTCTACGACCAGGGCAACTTCCTGCTGCGCGACCGCTACCGCGACCACACCGACCGCGTCGTCAACGAGTTCCGCTTCCTCGGGGAGCAGTTCGCAGAGGACCCGGACAACAAGAGGTTCGGCGAGGCCATGCAGAAGTTGTTCAACGACCTTGGAAACGATGAGAATGGAAAGCCCGTGTTCAAGAAGCATCTCGTGAAGGATGTAACCCAGGTCATCATCCCCGAGGTCTTTGAGAATATCAGATATGTGCCGATCCCCAGGATTGAGTACAGCGACCCGATGATGGACGCGGTCGTGGAGAACTTGGTCATTGAGAGCGACAACTTGATGCCTAATGTTTTGGAGATCGGGAATGACAATTACATGAGGTTTGGGCGCAAGTCTGTTGCTAGCAAGAAGAGGCACAGTGCCATGGTCTCAGCATCCGGTATCCAGTGCGATCTCAGAGGTTAGTTTTACCCCAATACTTCGTCCTGATATCAATGATACTAATACCATGTGAACAGACGTTTCCTACTACATCAAGAGAAAGCAAGGCTTCCCCTCAGTCACCGACATCGGTGTGGCCGACATCTTCCTCGGCGGCGAAGGCTTCTCCTTCAAGCTCGAGCTAGCGACCGCCGAAAAGCACGACCGCGCCCGCTTCTTCAAGGTCGAGAACGTGCACGTCAGCCTCACCAACATGACCATTAAGCTGAAGCAGTCCAACCACAAGATGATATTCAACATCTTCAAGCCGCTCCTGCTCAAGGTCATGAAGCCGGCCCTCACCAAGGTGCTCGAGAAGCAGATCCGCGACACCTTCGGCCAGCTCGACGCCCTGTGCTACCGCATCCACCAGGAGCAGAAGAAGATCGAGACGGACCTCAAGAACAACCCCGACCCCGAGAACGCCCAGAACATCTACAACCGCTACTACCAGGCCATGCAGCGCGAGATGATCAAGCGCAAGGAACAGGTCGCGGCAAAGACGGAGGACAAGAAGGTCAACATGGCCGTCACAAAGCAGGACAGCATGTTCCAGAACATCTCGCTGCCAGGCGGCATCAGCACCAGGGCTACCCACTACAAGGAGCTTGCCCAGCGCGGTGACAGGTGGCAGAGCGATGTCTTCAACATTGGCTCGGCGTCGCCGACGACGGGGGTCCCACAGCCGCAGGCAATCACGAGGAAGTCACCGCACGGACAGAGAAGGAGCTTGAGGGAACGAGAGACGGCGAGCTTGAGCACCTCTAGGGACAGTGGGTACCATCCTAGTGGTGTGGATGCCTATCTCAATGGGTCATCGGTGGGCTACGGCAATGGGGCCACGGGCTTTGGGGATAAGTACGCTGCGGAGCAGCAACACGATGCGAACCAGAGGATTGGTGGTTACGCCTTGAACCAGCAGCCCGGTACTCATTTGCCTGTGTTTAACAGCACCCAAGCTAACAGAGTTGTCTAAATCTTGTAATTTTCCTTCTATTAATTTGTGAAGTGATGAAGGTGGTGATAATACTGGATGGATTGAGGGAGGATAGTACTGGCTATGGACGATAATTTAATGTCTTTTTTTTTATTCATTTTTCCTTTTTTTTGTTTCTTTATATCCACTAGGTTTGCTCTGTATATGTAGCTGAAACGGCAACGAGTCTCTTATGTAATTATTATTTAGGTAGGGATTAATACACATATGTAGTACTTCATCTTGTCTCTTTCAATTGTTAGTGCACGTTGTGTGAATAAGTACTAATCACTCCGTGGTAGTACTGCTTGTAGCAACTTGTAATATTGATTTATCCTTTGAGTATGGGCGGGTTCTAGAAGTAACTTAAGGTAAATGTTTTATGACTTTATGGGCTTGTAGTAAAGTATTTTATATCATCTAAGGACGCTTCGATTTCCACTGGGTTTAATAAACAAGCTACTCGTGGTTTGTTTGGGAGACCAGATTATACGGTTTATATGCCGGTTTATTCACCACACGAACCGATACCGAGACATCACAGAATGAGTTTTTCGACTGTAGAGGTTGCGTCAATTTTCATGACTGCAATAATATATTCCGGATTTTTTGGTCCTCTAAACGTCCTTAGATAAATAATTGATGCGCCAAGCGCCACAACGTGTAGTAGATGAGTAAGCTTGTGGGATAACCTTACGAGATTATAATTGGTTGTGTTTTGCCTGAGCTTTGCAATCCATCTAGTACTGTATTTAGAGTCTGATATTGTATTGAAATCTCATTTAATTTAGGCTCGTATATACTTTATATATAGAGAATTGTGCTCTATATAAATACATGTAGTCTTGCCTCTGCTGTATGTCAACTGTTGCTGCAAGTTAATGCTTGGAGGGAATTCAACATCACGCATAACATATAGCCGCAGTAGTTATTTAAAGTGTTTCCCCTGGTAGCATCAGTTATAGACGAAGGAATAGCAGGATTCGACTGTAGATATGTGAACCGCCATAAAAACCTCTCCGACGGGCTAGGTTAGTATGTGCCCGCGACTGAGGCTTTGCCCGGTTTCAATACCTTCAGGCTTTGTAAGAGGTTTTCTGCGGAGTCTAAATGGATATAGAATTCCCCTCTGCTCACCTTCTGTCTGAATCAATGGGAAGTGATGGGAATAGCCCGCGTTTTATAATTACTTAATAGAACGTTTTTGGCAAGTCGAACTCTAGAATACCTAGTCTTCTTCGCTAGGCCTAGTGAAAGGCACGTTGAAACTCGAACTGAGCTACCCTGCAGGCTGCCGAAGAATTATGTAGAGAAGGTTCTTTTGCAAAGTGGACAGATGTAGGATTATAAATGGACGTGTAAAAATTATACAGCGCTTCCTGCCGGGCCGGGACTACGTCCCCGGGCCGACGGAGCTAACATGGGTTTGTCAGGTTCACTCAGACTTCCCAAGAGGATTACATACCGATAAGAACCCGTTCAGCGTCAATTAGCTGATGCACCTAGAGTACATGTAGAGTAGGTACTCTAGAGTACATAAGGGCGTTTGTGGATCTGCCTGTATACATCGTATGTGGTACTGTAGATAAAATTATACCCCACTATGTACTCTAGAATCGATTTCCTATCTCAACTCTTCAGAGGTTTACACGGTTTATCTTGACACATATGCCATTGTATGTACCTAGCAGAGTAATCCACATATGACCCCTCATGAATCATTAACACGCATGATGCGGCACCTGCTAGTGCCGGTATTAAGTTACTCTAGAAGAGGAAGTTTTATCAGAACCCCGCTGCATACTAAAGCCAGGAGACGTGACGCGCTTTGTTGATTTTTCTAGAGTACCGGGGTTGTCAGGGTGATCAGGATAATTATCAGCGGATCCTTCGATCAGATAAATTCCGATCCTGGCAGGCTGGTCGAAAAGGGGTGGGTTACAATATCACTGGGTTACCCCTTGCAACCTCAACAGGCGTTGATTCGCTGAAAGTTCCAAATTGTACTCCTGGTTTATTGGTCCATCCAGGGAAAAGCTGCAGGAGGACGAGGCGTGATTCACTAAAAAAAAAAAAATTGACGCGTTGAGTGAATTCAGGTGGGACCGTTGCTGGCGAAGACGCGCTGGTCAACTTGACCATGTTTGGATTGATCTCTTGGTATACAAGTGTCTCGTATAAAATCTCTTTGTGTCTCCTCCTCGTCCTGCCATAGATACATAAATCAACCATCAACTCAATTCTAAATTTGTACCTACACCTTCTCGTCACTGTTAAACTTACCAATATCTCAACTCCCTACCTTCCTCACAATCCCAAATGGCTACTACACAGATGACCCCTTCCAAGAAAGTGCGTATCCCCATAGTAACACTCTTAACGCGTCCGTGGGTCTGAATCTTGACACTAACCCGTGTCTAGGCTGCCAACGCCATGTCAAATCTTAAAGTTGACGACATTACTGCTGCAAAGAACATGACCTCATCCTTCCAGAAGGTCAGCACAGACAGTCCCAAGAAAGACTTGAAGACCGTCGAGACCTCCGAACCTGAGCTCGATGAGCCCCTTCTTAGGGAGAATAAGCAACGCTTTGTTTTGTTTCCCATCAAGTACAATGACGTGAGTTTCTTCAATTCCTCTGCTATCGTCGTAACTATCCACTAAACATATTTCTCCGATTCCAGATTTGGCAAATGTACAAGAAAGCCGAGGCCTCTTTCTGGGTTGCAGAGGAGATTGATCTCTCAAAGGATCTCAACGATTGGAACAACCGCATGAACGATGATGAGCGTTACTTCATTTCACATGTTCTCGCTTTCTTTGCCGCCTCTGACGGCATTGTCAATGAGAACCTCGTCCAGCGCTTCAGTAATGAAGTCCAAATCCCCGAGGCCCGTTGCTTTTATGGATTTCAGATCATGATGGAGAACATTCACTCTGAGACGTACTCCCTTCTCATTGATACGTACATCAAGGACCAGAAGCAGAGGACCTACCTGTTCGATGCTGTTGATACCATTCCTTGCATCAAGAAGAAGGCCGACTGGGCCATCAGGTGGATCGAGGACAAGAATTCAACTTTCGCTCAGCGCCTAGTCGCATTTGCTGCTGTCGAGGGTATCTTCTTCAGTGGCTCTTTCGCCTCAATCTTCTGGCTTAAGAAGCGTGGTTTGATGCCTGGCTTGTCATTCTCCAACGAGCTCATTTCTCGTGATGAAGGTCTTCATACCGATTTCGCCTGTCTTCTCTTCAACCATTTGAACAACCGTCCTAGTAAGCAGGCTGTTCAGGACATCATCACTGAGGCCGTTGGGATCGAGCAAGAATTTTTGACCGAGGCTCTTCCTTGCGGGCTTCTAGGGATGAACGCTAAGCTTATGAAACAATACATCGAGTTTGTCGCGGATAGACTTCTTCTATCTCTCGGAAATGACAAGTTCTACAACTCCACCAACCCTTTCGATTTCATGGAGTCTATCTCCCTTGCAGGAAAGACCAATTTCTTTGAGAAGCGTGTCGGTGACTACCAGAAGGCTGGTGTGATGGCCTCCACCACCAAGAAAGATACTGCGTCCGAGGACGAAGATGATGAGAGCAACGGCATCCGATTCGATGAAGATTTCTAGAGGTTCACTTACTGTTTTTTATATCTGTATAACGGTTCATTTCCTTAAATGTTTGGAGGTTTTGGGTAGGGTCTTTTTTTGAATTGGGCTGCGGGTTTGGGTTTCGAAGGTTGTTTTCTGGTTCCACCGTGTTTCTTTTTAGATGTTTGGGTCTTCCACCCCTGATCTTCGATCGCACTCCACTCCTGCATCAATCAGATTCATTTTAGGGTATTGTTTTTCTGGGAGTTTCTACTTGTTAAACTTTTCTTTTGGTTACTTTTAGTCATACGCTTTTGTATCCTGTATTTGTAAATAGACAGCAGTGTCTTCTAGGCGACATTAGCAAGAGGGAAATTTGGGTAAATCTGGCTATCATCAGTGTAGTCATGATGGGCTCCCAAGAAATAAATCCTGCCTTATTCCTACATATGGTACTTTCATTCTAACCGTGGTTTAACGTGATTTCACCATATTAAGACTCTGCACTCTTCTGCGTGTATCTCGGATTTTAAAATGGTTACACTCATTGTTGTACTCCCGCCAAAGCGCACTTTGGAATACCCCCCACGCAGCTACGCTAAATGATAAATTCTGGCCTGTTAAGGCAGATTTATAGGCCTTATAAAGACACTGGTTCCCTATACAATCCTCTCTTAAACTTCCACAAGAATCCTTACCATCGATGCAAAGACCGTTTTCTTTTTCAACTGGATTTATCTCGGGGGTCTAATATTTGAAGAATAGCACCAGCTATCCTGTCATCTCGGCTGCCGTTATAACCTGGAAATGCATTGGAAGCGGCGTGGTTTGGTACGATCACCCCATCCATGCCTACGTATTTTAAATTATACTTATACATTGATGACGCTGGTAGACCAAGATGTGGGTAGAAACTCTGGAACTCCCGTCGCTCCGCAACCTCCCCAACATGGAGGGTAAAGATTTGTTCTCGAGCTCAGGGTGAGAAAAATAAGATGTTACGAAATTTTAGCGTAAGGTGGCCCGGAGAAATGTGGGGAATGAAAGGCCAAAAACATGTACTTAACCATCACTCTTTATCATTGAACGAGAGGCTTGAGTGTTAACAAACGGCTTTCTCTATCGTTATAGACAGCGACAATTGCCAAATAGTCACCAAGAATGATCTATATGGAGTGACTTTTCTAATTCTTTTACTCGTAAGCAAGTGTAAAGCTATTCATCGAATATCAGTCCAACATTGGGCCCAACTAAAATATGTACGTACATGCACATGAACCTACATGTACCTACATGTAGATAGGGCGCCAGAAAGATTAGTGAAATTACATCAGCATAATGCTTAACTGCAGTAGTGATACGCCTTTATTTTTTTTACGGTATTTCCGGTAGCATGTGGAGTTAACTAGGTATTCTCACACGATGCCGCATTTACATCGCACTAAGGAGAGACAAACCTGTAGAGTGTGTGCTTAGTCATCATCGTGGTACTGGTTACATGTAGTTATGGGGAAATGATCGCTCAACCTGCTTTCAGGCAGTATGGCATTGGGGGTTCTGGTTGTGGGTCGCTGTGAGACTGCATTCCAAGTTCTTTTGACTGTGAAGAGCCTGTGGCGAGCGCTGTTTAGCCCAAGGTCGGAAATACCTCTACATGTTTCTGATAGAAGTTTGAGCGTAAAACAGAGTAAAGGATCTAAGCTATGTAGTTCAGCTCCTAGGATCATATCCACTTCAAGACATATTAAAGAATAACTATCTCCAGTAGATATCATGGCACTGCCATCATACATTTGAAGAGAAATACCGCGTGTGAGGGGACAGTCGCGCACCATAGAAATTGGCCAACGTTGATTGGTTGCAACAATTGAATTGGTTGTAATGCGCGACTGACCCGGGTGCGCGACGCGCGATACTAAATAGTCTTGCTACTTCAGAAGTAGGAACTCTGACGGACGCTAGCAGCCAGGGTTAAGCCTACACGAGTAAAGATGATAATACCAAGGAAATTTAAAACTGGCTATCTCTTAAGATGTACGTCAATGATGACCCTTTTACTTTGGGATAGAGTATCTGTGCCAGTGCTTGGTTAGGAATTCAAGAAATTTGTTAGGCCTTTACTAAAAGGATCAGCATTTTTCAGGCAGCCTAAAGGATTCATATACAGTTATACTTAGCTATAGTTATAAATCCAGTTCACTGGTACGACACATTATAATAAATGCTGCGGGCGGTTGTGGTAGTTAAAATCCCGGGCAGGTTACAAGCCTCATTAGCTCTAACTTCTCGCTTTCTTTCGGATGTCCTTGTGTTTTCTGTTCACCAACTGCATATAGGGATTAAGTAACCCGGGAGGTTGGCTCTTAGTTACTTGTATTGATGATGCATCAATGAGAGAGGAGGGAGAGTAGTTCTCTCTCCTCGACTCAAGTACAGAGCTTCTTTAATAACAACCACATTCTCTAGTATCTTCGATCGTCTAGTGATACCTAACCCTGAGAATGGTAATATGGGATTACCACAAGGGATCATCAGATCTAGATGACATATATCCTTATACGCTTTAGTGTCGAATCGTAAAACTACATGTATATGGATCTTACCTAAGCCTTATGGAGTCTTCACTAGAAACGCAGACTTATAGAGCGCCTTTTCCTCTCGGTTATAATAATGTTTCATAAGACTTCGATGAGTGTTCAAAGGGTTACAAACCTATATGCGAGATAAGCGCCCAACAAAGTTCTGCTATTTCCCGATTCGGCACTCACTTCGATTATGTCCCTATTTATAATTGGGGTGGATGGTACCGAAATTAGCGTTGCGGGTTACATGGGTTGAAGGATCGATCAGGGCTCAGTTTCGAGAGCATAAATTTTATTCTCGATTCATGCCAGTGCCAGAGGGTATAACAAGCATAGTGTAGTTCTAATATATTTTATGCCATAGTCTACGACTGCACGCAAAGTTTTGTACCTAGAATGAATAAACTGCTTGATATATAAAAAAAAAAAAGTTCTAATATATTTGTTGATTGTAATTAGTATGGCTCAGGATTCACTTATGTAGCATCAATGATAATTCCAACAACAAAATGCACATCACAAAAACACCAGAAAGGCTGCCGTAAGCTGATAACTCCATACTTTTTATTATTGTTTCAAACCAAATTCGAACTTGAAGCCTCATCACTGCGCTTCCAATAGAGAAGCTAAAGACTTGAAAAACTATATCGGGGCTTTCATTACCTCTGTTTCCATGATTCTATTACTAGAAAGTGGCATCACAAATGCTGCATAATGCATCGGCGTCCCTAACTTTCCCGCAGACTGATCTACAACTCAAAGAACCTGGTACACGTACATATCTCCCCGGCCTGCGGATACCCAAGGGGAGTGATATCCCATGAAATTGCTGAAATTTCAAGCCCGTGAGTAACTACTCTGGTTTTCATTCATGTGGGTGTTCGGGCTCCAGCATCGATTTTATAAACAAGCTGTCCTCTGGGGCTTGATCCAAAGTTTCTGGCACCGATTTCATCTCCATGAGAGCTGGAGTCGTTCAAATTTCCTCAATAGCACTTATAGAATCGTATTGTATGACTTTCGGTGTGAGCGATGATTGGTGATGGGATAATATTCTGGTACTAAGTGAGCTACCTCATGATCAGTACCTTGTAGATCTACAAAGGGCAATACTTTATGTGTCGTCATGAATAAGGTGATCGTAGGACGATTGCATAAAATCACTCAATGGAAAGTAATATCGGACCCGAATTTGGCCATTCTCGTGTCTATCACAAACTAGGTATTTTAAATACAGTTGCCTTTTCTTTTCTTTCACCTTTCTTCTCCATTTGCCACCCAGATATGAATTTCCACTCCGTTAAAGCCTCTTACATACAGAAAGAAAGAAGGAAAGAAAGAAAGGACAGAAAGGAAGGAAATAAAAAAAAAAACTGAAAATAATGAAAATAAAAAAAGAAATGCAAATGCTCCCACCCAGCTTTCTCCCAGATTTCCAGACAAAAATGTTAGTGCAAGTTAACCCCTACAATGGGAAAAGCCTGGCCAACAAAATAAAAGAAAGATATAACGAGGAAATAGTTCTCCTTTAAAATTCGATCCCGGAACAGATTTAGTCGGGGAGCTCATATTTTCGATTCCCCATTGCCTCTTTCGTAGGCCGATATACTTGCTATATCCCAGCTCCCATGATTATTAACAAACAATAAAAAAAAAAACACGCAATTTTCGCGAGTGGAACTTTTTTGCTCTGAAACCTGAAAAAGCAGCCCATCCCGGATAAACAAAATTCCGAATATAAGAAACAGTAGGGTATAAAGAGAGGATAAGAGTAGGAAAGGAAGAGGCAAAATGTGTAAGTAGGAAGAGAAAATAACCCCCAAATCCATGCCCGCAGACCCTTCCCAAAGCTTCAGAAATCAAGGTGTAAAAGAATATCAGTCCGAATAAACAGAATAAAATAAATAAAATAAAGAAGGCACAGGCCAATGCAACAAAAAGGCAATATGTGCAATTTACACGCTAGCAAGAACAAGAGGATAGGAAACAGTGGAATCAAATTTATAGAAAAGTCGTAAAAATAAAATAAAACTCCAGTGAGCCGCCTGTAAAAGTAAAGGGACGAACAAAAAAGAAAGAAAAAACCGGTCTCAGATATCATGCAACGTTATGAGGACTGCCTAAGACTACTGCTGCGCTTGAACGCACCAATGTCTATGGTAAACCCATGCGCTTTTTTGGCATTCCTTGCTACAGTACTTCGTACGCCTGCACCGTCTGCATTTTGCAAATTGACGAGTGTACTCCTCCCATTTCCCACATTCGTAATATGCGCATTGTCGAATTCCGCCTCGGGAGTCGTCCTTTCGGCAAAGATTTCTCATCACTACGCCTGCCCAGTACTGCATATCCGGAGGGTGGTGTCGAACAGTGAACTTCTCCACGAGAGGAAAAATATTGTAATCATCTGGTAGGAGATACTCTTCTTGCTCTTCGAGGGATTCTTGATCTTGGCTAGCCAAATTACTTGGTTCTTCGTCCAGAAGGTGAATTTCGCCGCTGATAGAGAGTTTTGGTACTAGGTGAGATTTTTGGAAGTAAGATCGCAGGTTGCAATACTTTGAAACATAAGCAAGAAGTTGTAATGACATTAGAACATCCTCTTCACGAGGCATTGAAGGCAACACAACCGAAGATGAGCTATCTTGAAGGTAGCGAGATGGAAAATGAAACGCTGTTGGAATGGCCAAAGGTGGATTAGCCGTTGGGGGGTTTGTATTGGTTGCTGCATTGATGATGCTGCCATCTATCGGCGACCGATGCGTGATATTGAATGTTTCAGTATCTTGGGTGTCTGTACCATGGGGGCCAGCCAATCCCATTGGAGCATCCACTGAACCAAGGATTGTTTGGCGGTCATCTATGCCTTCTATGTCCTCTCCCGTCTGAATATCTACAATCGGTTCGTTTGCATTCTCCACTTCACCTGACGGATTGGGAATCTCGTCTGCATTCGGATCATCGGATTCCCCCGATATCGAGCGCTGGTGGCGAATGGATGGCCGGCTACTTCGGCGAATTGTTCTGCTAGATGATGTGGGAGGCGGAGGATTAGGCGTGGTGGGTGATTCGGGTTGAGAAACATTTCCGGCCTGTAGCATTGATGGTAGCCTTTCAGTGTCCCGAATGGGTCGCAGGCCAAATCCTGCAACATTAACATCCATTACTGGGAGCGCAGCTGCCAAAGGCTGTAGTCCGCTCTGATCGCGCGCAGGAATTCCTGAATGATATGTGTGGAAGTGGTGACGACTATCATGAGTTCGATTAGGGTGAGATTGTCTAATATAAGCAATCCTTTCTGCGGGATTTGGTACAGTAAGTGTTTGGTGAGAGTTGGCGTGCACATTTTCTAAAGCCTGTGAGGCAGGTATTTCAATAGACGCAGGCGGTGCTTGTCTCCTAAACCCCCGGTCTCCTCCTGAGGGCCTCTCATGTCGATCATAAAAAGAATTAGGGGGTTTGTTGTCGCGGGACCGAACTGAGTGGCTACCAGAAGCAGTACGCTTCGCATTAGCTGCGTCTGCCTTTGACTGTAGTTTGTCGATAACCTGTACATAATTGTCCAAGATTGTTGCAATGACTGGGACCATATCTGCCTCCACTACCCTAGTTCGCACGTTTTCTGAACCCCGCACACCTATGTTCACGACACACTGAAATGCTAGATTCCATTTCCACATGCTCATCAGATCCTTGTTCCGCCCATCCTTCAGTATGCATACCAGCCTTTCGATACCTCCATCGACGGTAAGAATATCCCTGATGCGAGCCGACGAAGTAGTAAGATAGGCAAGGTGATTCAGAGAATTTATGAGAGGGAGAGTTGATGTGCAATCCAGCGCTCGTCTATCATAAAGAGCGGTCGTAATACCAACGGATGCTTTATTGAGATTAGGAATGCTGAAGTTGACTTCTCGCATTGTTGATATTATAGGCTGGGATGGGAGAAGTTGGAGGAGGGGGGGAGGGGTTAGGAGCTACGAGGGAGATATATGTCAGCACGTCGGGATTTTCTTCATATGGAAGTAATATCGCACAACTAACTGGAGATTGCGATGTGGTGACAGACCTTGTATGCAAGTTCCGAAAGGTGGCAATCGAACCAAATAGCGGTAATGGTTCTCTCCAGGTAAGGGAAGAAGGTAAAGTCTAGAGCGAAAGGTGTTGAAAGTCGATCGGACAAGTCGTTATCAGAAGACGAAAGTAGTTGTCCCTAAGCGGTAAAAGGATGGAAAGAAACAAGAGGGCTCAGAGGGGAGCTATAAAGGAAAGGTTTATCAAGAGCCGTGGGGTTTGGTGGGCGGCTGTCGTCTTCGTTAGTAGTAGCGGTTGAAGAGTGCAGGTGATGAGTGGTGGTTGTGATGGCGATGGTTGCTGGCTGGGCTGGGCTGGCTGTGCTTTACAAATGGCCGGAGGCAGGGAGGAGGTGAGAGGAGAAATGAAAACGGAAGCAGCCAACCACGAGTGAGGACACACAGAAATTCTCCCCGAGGGAACAGGAAGCACAGACAACACAACACAGCAGACAGCGAGTTACTGGCGATCCAGTCCGATCCAGTCCCACGGGTACCAGCAGTAAACAAATACACTTACCAACGGCTAGATAAAAAGAAGAGGGAAAGAAACAGGATATGGAAGTAGAGAGGGAGTATTTAGGAAGAGGAGAAACAGGATGGCACAATAGCAACAACAATGACAGACAGTGAGCTCTCCCTCTCTCTATTTGTTTTGTCTGCCTGCCTGTGACTATGCGGATGGAGAGAATGGCCGCCGGCTTTCTTCTTCGTGGAAGTAAGCACTGGCAAGGGAGGAGGTCGGAGTCGCTGGGGGTTGTGTGGTGTGTGCAGAACAGTCTATTAGCAGTCAGGACTGTGATTGGTCAGAGTCAAGAGGTAAGTGGACCATGGTGTCGCGCCGTAGCAGGGGATACATACTCTCTACGATTTTGCCCGCGCGAAAGGAGAGAGAGGGGATGTCAGGGAAGCCGAAATTGTACGGCCAAGGATTAAGAAGCTGCATCTTCACTCATGGTGCCGCCAGTCTCCAGAGTAAGTAACCCAGAGGAGGATCGAGCGTTTCACTACAGCCGTATGTACGGTAGATACATCTGTATGTATCCTACAGACAGAGACGTGCTGGCGGAGTGGGAGTGGTGAGGTTCACTAAAAACGAAACTACAGTATAAAAAACAAAATTAAAATGGAAACTACGACATCGCAAGAACTCTTTGCGTTTTTTTTTTCGTTAGCGATTCTTAAAGATTTCCTAAGTGTGTGCGTTGTTTCCTGCTGTGAAGTAACCTGAGTGGCAAACAAATTGAGGGGGCGCTTCGGTCCCCAAAATTTGTTGATAAATTTCGATAAAACCTCGCTTCACCTCACGATGTGAATATGCAGGAAATAATCGACCTTAGCCGCCAATTATTGTCAATTCGTTAATCCCCAACTGCGCTCGTGACCACAAAGAAAATAAGCCTTTCTGAAATCCTGCATGCCTGGTTGGTGATGAAATTAACACTAGGTAACCCACTACATACCTACGTGACATAAGTACATACCTACATGATGTCGATAGACTTCTGCTGGCATTCAACGAGAGAAAGCTGTATGCCGAGCAAAAAAAAATGTTTTTTATGCACAACCAGGTGGCGAAGAGATAGTGAGCCGGAGAGATAAATACCTAAATGATAAGCGGTTATCGAGCCCGAGTCAAATGTTTCAGTGGAGAACAAAGTTTCACAGGTTTCCAGGGCACCTGTCGGATCATTTCCTCTGTTTATCTAGAATAAAATCTCTATTCACTCAGTTGTCTAGTGCGCATGGCACACATGTACCTACATTTGTGCATCATTTAGGATGTAGCCTCTGAAGACGAACCCAAGTCTACCACAGGTAATTATCTCACCCGGTCGGAGTACTCAAATTGATGGATAATTAGTATACATGTATCTAGTTTTAATCCTGTTAACAGCCCGACTCAATTGTGTCACATCAACCTAAATAGTGTAAACCTAGATAATTATTCTGTTTCAGAAGTATTCCGTAACTCTGAAAATAATCAAGGGCGCGCAATTCATGATTTAAGCTTTATCCACAGACTTATCATTTGCAGCTCAGCTCTGTTAAAGACCTTAGGCCTGTTTGTTCAATAAGGTATATATGGAACTGTAGCTACCTACATGTATTTAGACAATAGACTTTGGTTGAAATTGGCTACCCAAGGGTGGTAGTTGTCTCTCGATTTCAGTAAAAAGATTTCAGATCGTTGATTTGATCCTTTCAGACCCTGCAGGAAGGCCACTTAGATTATGTCTTCTTCCGTTTGTAGCGGTATGGCTATGGGTGCATTTAGTCGATCGAGTGATCGATTGTGCAGACAGCTAAGCTAAGTGGTAACCTCTAACACTGGGCATGGTATTAGACAACAATACAGATCTGCAGAATAAATTGGAGTTGTTGTACTTGGCCCTAGTTGCACCTACCTACATACATGTAGTGGTGCCCGGGGACCTGGAATCGATCAAAGATATGTACATGTAAATATACGGTAAAGTGATCTTTCATGCCCCTTACCAACATGGACGTACTGAGTGTTAGACGTATTCAAGTTTCAGATCTCGTTGAAAAGATATCTGGGCAATCTGAGTGCGATTGTTAGTTGATAGTTCTCTTCTTATAGGTAGATTTATAATTACAATGACGACACCTACTTATTATTAGCTATGCTCTGAGCGCAAGATCTGGGATTGAGTGATGCGTGGTTCCACCCACAGAAGTTCATGGCGTCACCAAAATGAGGATAGAATAGTACCTAGATACACGGTACCAGCATTTATGTATTAGTACTTGTAAGTACATGTAGGTACCTACAGTGATACCTGGGGTGCTCTATCATGTGTTGTAGGATACCTAGAGAGTACATAGGACGTTCGATGTGTATACCATATGCAAGAGTCCCATTGAGCCTCAAAGGTTTCAACGCAGTCAACAGCCAAGAAGCCGGCGCATACAGGATTCGAAGCCGCGCGGCTATGCAAGTTGTAGGAAAGACCACCTACCGGCCTAAAACATGTACATACATGGAAACGGATCAAACTCTAGTGATAAAAGAGCACATAAAGTACGAGTACAGAATGGTACATAGCACTTGAATTTTATGCGTATAAGTACATGAAATCCAGTACCTACGTGACCGTAAAAGTGATCGACAAAGGGTCCGACCCTGTAAGTTGTGATGCATATCATGATTTTTGCACCCTAGTTACCCCCAGCCTCACAGTTACAGACTTTCTCACATCGTCCTCGATCTTGACCTTTGCTCTCCTTCCTACACCCTGTACAGTCAAAAACTATATCAAATTGCGGGGAAGCAAGGTGTCCCAAGGAGTCTGCCCTGCATACTGTATACCCATCTTGAACCTACGTGTGTCGTTTCCTGCAGACTCTCCACAAATATCTGAAGGAAGTTATGCTTCTGTGCGCGTCTAGTTAAAGTAGGTGGTCACTTGTACTTTGCTGGCCGAGATCTACTTGAGGATATTCTCTGGACCAAGCTCCTGAAGGGAAGGTTAGAAGGATTAGAAGGTAGATTGAAGAATAGAAACTGACTTTGTTCCAGGCCAACAGATATCCATGGTCGAACCAAACAGCAATGTTCCGAGATCGGATGAAGAGCCTGCTGAAGACCAACCGTCTTCAACATCTGGAACACTACGGGATTCCAACTCGGACATTCCCATCCAGTCCACGGGAAGTGGCATTCCACGCATTAGATTTTCCACGGACATAGATCGTTCCGAGCCTTTAGCACCGGGCAGTTCCCCCACGGATGGGAAGATTGTTGCCACTGCAGGTCTTACAATTGATACCTCACCCAGGACTGCTCAGAGAGAAAGCTTGGAAATAAGATCGTTCGGTCGGAAAACTAGCGATACAAACTCATCAAGCTCGGTAACAGATGCTCGACCCCCCGCACCTTATCACACACTCTCACCGACGTCTCCCACGTCCCCAAGGAAACGCAACCGAGGGTATAGTTTGCGACGACAACTATTCTTCAGGAATGTACACGATCAAATGGACCAGGACGCTGGGTTTGCCCACAGTAGCGCCAATGATATGGGAATCGAGCTCAATTCCGTACATCCTTCACATGAATTCAAGAACCAACGTATAGAATTCCAGGATGCTGCTACAGGAGAGGGAGCAGAGGAGGAGGAAAAAGAGAAGGCTGATCATGTCTATCCCAAAAGACAAGGGAGTCTACCCCCCATTTCCGGCAGCCTTCCACAATATTCATTGTGGGCTCATAAACAGTCCAAAACATTTAGAGCCCAGGTCCAGTCATACTATAAAAACATCCAACAATTGATATTAAGATACAACGAGGCTCCACCAAGTAAAGAGGGGAGGAGAATACCTGTTGACGCTGAAAGGAAGGATCCACTTATAGATGAGAGGACATTGAAGGAATACATCGGAAATACCATCAGAAGTAGTCGTTACACCATTTGGAGCTTCCTTCCAAAGCAGTTATTTGCTCAGTTTTCGAAACTGGCGAACTTGTAGGCAACGGTTTCTTAACAGGCATTGATATTGAGCTAATGAATCCCCAGCTACTTTCTTTGTGTTTCAATTTTGCAGATGATACCCAGTGAGTTAAATCATCCGCGCCTTTTTGAGCGCCTCCCTATAAATTTGTATAACACTAACTTGGAGGATTAGCGCTGAGCACTACTGGAAGTAAGCTCCCGAGTGATATTTCGTGTTCATCGAGCTAATTTCCGATAGCATACACAACGATTGTCCCATTATTATTCTTCATAACACTATCCATGACCAAAGAGGGCTACGATGATTATCGACGATATAAGCTAGATAAGGTTGAGAATAATCGCTATGCTCAAATACTTGATACCTATAAACCCAGCGATGATCGCGATCTTCCCTCTACGCCCCGTTTTTGGGCGGAAACAAAGTGGAGGAATATTCGCGTGGGTGACATAGTAAAACTCGAACGCGACGACTCGGTCCCAGCAGATATAATCATACTCCATTCCGACGGTCCACGAGGAATAGCATATGTGGAAACCATGGCGTTGGACGGAGAGACAAACTTGAAGAGCAAACAGGCATTGCCGATAATATCAGAGCAATGTGATACTATCGAAAAGCTTGGAGCATTCAAAGCGCAGGTCGTAGTGGAGGATCCTAACATGGATCTTTACAACTTCGAAGGAAAGGTTACGGTTGGAGACGAAACGAAGCCTTTAACAAATAACCAGGTGATCTACAGAGGAAGTGTGATACGAAACACATCAAACATGTGGGGATTGGTTATATTTACGGGAGAGGAAAGCAAGATTCGGATGAAGTGGGTTGAAATCGTCTAATCACGGTGGGTTAGGGTTAATATCAGTTACTAACTTTGATTGCATAGTGCAAACAAAAACCCACGAACTAAGGCACCATCGTTACAAGCAATCGTCAATAAGATTGTGATTATCGTTGTAATTTTTGTCATTGCCTTGGCTGTTTTTAACACCGTTGCATACCGTCTTTGGCGAAATCGAACGGAAAGGCGCTCCTGGTACTTAACTAATAGCAGCGTTGCCTTTTTCCCTATATTCGCTTCCTACGTAATTATGTATGGCGCCACAGATTCATAGAAAGTGGTTAACCCAAGATGTCAACATTTGCTAATTAAACATAGGTTCAATACTCTCATTCCTCTTTCTCTCTATGTTAGTTTGGAGATCATAAAGCTAGCTCAGATGTTCCTCCTGAATGATATCGATATGTATGATCCAGAAACCGACACACCAATGGAGGCAAGGACGTCCACTATTAATGAAGATTGTGGCCAAGTCAGGTAAGGTCCGTTTTTTAATCCCACCCGCAGTGTCAAAATTAACGAGTAAAAGTTACATATTTTCCGATAAAACTGGTACCTTGACCGACAACGCTATGCTATTTCGGAAACTAAGCGTTGGAGGTCAGGCTTGGCTACATGATCTCGATATTCAGCGGGAAGCAGGCGAACTTGCTGATCGGTCTAGCTTAGATAAAAGGCGAAGAGAAAAAGGAAAGGGCAAAGCCAAGAAGATAATAGGCCGTTCAAAATCAGTTCATATGAATACAAAGGGAACCGATCTTGAACCACATCGTACTAGAAAATCCTTCGGCGATATGGCTTATATACAGCAGGTCGAGACTATCCCACCTAAATTATCACTTGATGGTCGACTTCGAAACAAATCGTCTTCAAATTCTCTCCGATGGCGCTCTACAGCAATTCCCCAAAAAGCTCAACCACAATTATCCACGATGGATCTCCTGTACTACCTTCAAAACCATCCACATACTTTCTTTGCCCGTAAAGCTAGGTTTTTCCTGCTTTCTATAGCCTTGTGTCATACATGCATCCCCGAAGTGGATGGCGACGGAAATATAACTTACCAAGCGGCATCCCCTGACGAGTTGGCCTTGGTGAGAGCTGCACAGGAATTGGGATATATTACGATTGATCGACAGATAAATAAGATTTCAATAAAAACTTTTCCAAGTGGGCCTATGGGGGAACCACTTATCGAAGATTATGAGATTTTGGAAGTTATTGAGTTTTCTAGTAAAAGAAAGCGAATGTCGATAATTATCCGCATGCCAAATGGGAAATTTTGCGTTTTTTGCAAAGGGGCGGATACAACTATGATTGAGCTTCTTCGGCTTCGGGATCTGGCTAAACAGAAAGCATTGGAGGTTGAAAGACGTGCAAATAAGAGAAAAAGTCTTGAGGCGCAGGAAGTCATACGGAGGACTAGTATGCAGCGTACAAGTATAGGTGGCCGGTCTAGTATAGGCGGCCGGCCAAGTTTCGGTGGCCCTGGCCGCCCCAGCATGTCTACGAATCGCCTAAAACCGATTCAAGACGAATTCGATGATTGGCTAAGGGATAAAGAGCAGGGGATCGATATGTCATCTATTGACGATGAAAGCATCTATTCTCGGCCATCTGCCCAGTTTGCAAGCCGTCACTCAATTGCTTTTGGGGAAATCAACGTACCACTAGAACGAGAAATTAGCGAGGATATGGTTGATGAGAATATTGCTGCGGACGAAGCAAAGGTTATTGAGCGCTGTTTTGCGCACATCAACGACTTTGCCACGGAAGGGCTAAGGACATTACTTTATGCCCACCGCTTTTTGGACGAACAGGAATACGCTGGATGGAAGAAGATATATGCAGAAGCAACAACGAGTCTTGTTGATAGACAGAGCCTTATCGAGAAGGCGGCCGATATGATCGAAAGGGACTTTGAGCTCAGCGGTGCCACAGCAATCGAGGATAAGCTGCAGAAAGGCGTTCCAGAGACTATTGACAAGCTCAGGAGAGCAGGTATCAAATTATGGATGCTGACCGGAGATAAGCGAGGTAGATGCCACGAAATCCATGCCACTGATCGATTACTATATTAATTTTCATTCTCTAGAAACCGCGATTAATATCGGCCACTCTTGCCGATTGATTAAAGACTACTCGAATATTATTGTTCTTGATAAAAGAGATGGCTACATCGAAAGAAAAATGGCAGAAGCAATATTAGAGATCAATGCTGGGAAAGTTGCTCATTCGGTCGTAGTTGTGGACGGTGGTACTTTAACGAGTATTGATGAGGACGAGACACTGAAGTCTTTATTCTTTGATATTGCTATTATCACGGACTCTGTCATTTGCTGCCGCGCAAGCCCTAGCCAGAAAGCATCACTTGTCAAGACCATTAGGACCAAGGTTAATAAGTCTGTGACCTTGGCAATTGGGGATGGTGCAAACGATATAGCAATGATTCAAGAAGCGCATGTGGGTATTGGAATCACCGGGAAAGAAGGTTTACAAGCAGCCAGAGTCTCGGATTATTCCATGGCGCAATTCAGATTTTTGTTGAAATTTTTGCTGGTTCACGGGAGATGGAATTACGTTAGAATATGCAAATATACAGTTGGAACATTTTGGAAGGTATAGACCATCAGTAGATTTCTTTGGGAGAATAATCGGTATTATACAGTATGATTAAGTGATAACTGATACATTTTTTTAGGAGCTGCTATTCTATCTTACCCAAGCCCTCTTTCAGAGGTCGAATGGCTATACGGGAACCAGCTTTTATGAGTCATGGAGCTTGAGCATGTTTAATACTCTGTTCACCTCGCTTCCGGTGATTATCTTGGGAATTTTTGAAAAGGACCTTTCTCCCGCAACTCTATTGGCTGTACCAGAACTCTATCGCAAGGGACAGCTAAATGAAGGGTTTAACTTTCGAATTTACCTTGGCTGGATGTTCCTTGCCTCTTCACAGGCAGTTCTAAATTATTACATGATGTTCACGTTGTACGCCCCACGTCTTACGGTCGATAACGGGATATATGCTATGGGCGTTATCACGTATAGTGTTGTGGTTACGCTTGTTTCAGCAAAGTTGCAGTGAGTATCCCAGGTCTGGATTCTGATCGGGCTCGGTAATAACATATTTTACAAGACTCATAGAGACGCACAACAAAACCGTCATAGTCGCAGCAACCTTTGTTCTTTCCGTTGGAGGATGGTAAGCAATCAATCTACCACGTCACGTTCTGTTTGTTCATATCTAATGAACTATAGGTTCCTTTGGAACATTATATTGGGCGAAACATACTCAAATAACGTCATCTATAATGTCAAAGATGGAATTTTGCGACGTTTTGGCAAAGACTTAACTTGGTGGCTTGTCTATATATTTTGTCTCTCGGCCTGTCTCGTCCTTGACTTGGCCTTGATCTCTATTCGTGCTGCATTTTGGCCTACGGATGTACGTATCCTTAATTACTTCTATATGACTCAATTTCATGCTAATTATTGGATTTATAATGGCACTAGGTTGATGTCTTTCAGGAGATCGAGAAATCAAAGGAAATGCGGCAACGCATGGAAAAAGCAGCCAGTGTTGAGCTCCAACAAAGCTGGAACCAGAACCAAGGAAGATCTAAAGCAGAAATTGAAATTGAAGGTGAAGTGCAAGAATTCTTAGATAGGCCGAGGGTGATGGAAGAAGGAAGAACCCCAGGCAGAAAGAGCACAAGTTCATGTGTCGACCGAATCTCGTTTTCTGGAGATCGAGGAGACGCGGAGGATGATATTAACGTGCATCTGGCAAGAAGATTTGGATCTATTAGAAGATGATCCTTGTGACAGGACGTTTGGATTGTTTTTCCAAGAATAGGCGTTTATGACGTATAAATGTGTATGGGCATGTACATTCAGGTATATGGAAGTAGGAACGAATATATAATATATGGACTTGAACACTTGCTTGAGGGGATTTAAGATGAATTTGATCAATGGGCCTCAGTCAGATCTGGGATGACCCTACTTATCAGCGCTGGAACGTGTAAACATCCCTCCCGATTCATACGGTGCTTTGACTGCTAGAGAGAGAAATGCATCGAGCAATTCAGCCTACAGTCGCTCACCTAGTGACGGCGGATCCTGTCTGATGGTTGTGTTTGCAGTAATTTCCCCTTGGCGTCCCAAAGTTAACTCTGTTATTGGCCTCAAATCCCTGACCGCCATCAGACAGGATCCGCCTTCACCCAGTGAGTGTCTGTAACTCTAAGAGCTGCATGTTTGACCAACCAGAACGCGCATTCCCGTTGATGGACGCTCAAAACGCGGGGTGGTAGTTTTAAACCAAGAACTGGCATGGGCACAGATACCATGCAGGTATTCTCAGCCGACAGCCGTTGACTTTACTCATAACGTGGATATCAAATCCATGTCAAAGGCTGAGACTGACTCTACTGAGCGAGTCTCCAGCCTCCTGATCAGTGTTTCCCATTGAGCACCCGCCACAATAACAGCTACATGTAGTTGTAACAGTTACTTTTGCCGCAGGTGCAATATACCTGTATGTCGTGTCGGTAGGAAATCCCGTGGTAGTTTATCTACCTATGTCAACCGGAGAATTATTGAGCTCGGCCCGCTCGCCTGTCGTCTACTATTATTGCAGATCGCAGGGTGTGTAGGCACTCTACTCTAAGTACATGTATTTGCCTACAGTACTCGTAGTAAGTGTATTTGCCTACATGTCTATAATGTACTGTCTCTATTTTTTCTATTATTGGAACGGTCTGATTGGCTGTTGGGTGCAGGGGTGCAATTAGTCAGCACGACACATCAAAGTACTGAGCACTCACGAGAGGAGGAGGATGGGACCGAAGGCCCCTCATGAATTAAATTTTATTTGATACCCATAATTCAACGTACAACTCGCGGTCGCGAGTTGGCACACCCCTAGTATGTATGTATGTACTTAGAGTACATGTAGCTACCTCATCTTAATGTACTTGGATCGATCGATTGATAAGAGATAGACACTATAATCTAGCTTCTACCTAACATCGTTATGTAAGATGTTCGTCTACTCTAGTACCGCAGTATTCGTAGAAGCTTGGGTTAAAATGATTCAAGTCCTTGAATATCCACACAAGGTGATTGAAATGTACGTTACATAAACATTTAGCCAGTCAGAGCAAGATCTATCGATTCCAATTCAAAAGCTCGTCTTGCATATAGAGCAGAGACCACTCCTGGCATGGCATTTGCTAGTGATATAAAGTCTGCGACTGATTGACTGTGAGGGGCAAGTTTGACCATCATCACAGTGTATCACAACGCGCTTGGGGAAACCCCACTTGCCCAATGCCCATAACCGTCGGTGTCTCGGCAATGGACCTTTTTTTGGATATGAAGGGATCAAGAGTTTTGCCCCTTTTTGCCCAGAACTTGGTACCAACGGAGCGTTCCTGGCCCTAGACGAGGCTCCGCTTGCCTTGAGCGATGGGCCGCCACCGATCATCCTTACTTAGACCCAGGCTAGCCGACAGCCTACATAGCTGAGACGGGTTAAGACCAAGCAAGACTTTGGGGGCTGTTCCTGAATGCATGCGCTAGCGGTCCCGAGACAGCGTTTATTGAACGCCTGCCGTCACTTTGTTTTCTTCAAGTTGATGTCCACCAAACGATATCAAATTGAATACCACGATCAGAAGCAGCCGAGGGGGAGAGAGGAGGTGCATGGAATCATAATTAAGTCGGGACTGCTATTGATAGGCAGTGTACAGGTGGTTGTTATGATGATGATGATGATGGAGACTACAGCGGGGGATGCTGGCTGGCTAGACGGTTGGCCGGACACCATAGGATGGTTGGCGCACCGGCCAGCCAGGTTATTCTATGCCATTATGATTCGGCATTCAATCGGATGATTTCTGCGTGCGTGCCTGAGATGGGAATCCTCTACCTAGAGTAGGTGATTCTACACAAACGCGGAATTCAGTAATGTGTTAGAGTGCATATGTATTTTTTCTATAAATTCATATGGCCATGGAACCTTTCGAACTACATGTACCCTGTTGATGAACTTAAGATATAAAAAAATGATTCGAGAGATTTAATAGAGCGGTTTCCCCCAGTGAAGATTTTGGTTCCGCGCATAACTCTCTCTACCTACTCCAGGCGTAAACCCCACCCATCGCATCGCCTTCTTTCGCGAGAGCTGTGTGCCTGTGCCTGTGCCTGTGCCAGGTGGTGATTGAACATAGAGAAAGAAGTCTCCGACCCCTGGCGTCAAAAAGGACGAAGCAGGGTACAATTGGATGGCCACTGAGTAGCTGATTGTTTACGCCTCCACATTTTTGTTTCCTTTTCTTCATTTTTATGTTTTCTTTTTCTTTCCTTACCTTTCCTTTGCTTTCTAACTTGTCTTGTTTCCGTAAATACATCTATATCGGGATTTTTTTTCCTGCCCCCATTAATTCGAATTGGGACCTGTGAGCGGACGGGCAAAAAAAAGAGAGGAAAAAAAGGGAGACCCCTGCGGCTGTTTGGAGCCTGGCCTGGAGAGGAGCACGAGGAGCACGGTGAGAGACTCCAAAGGAAAGCAGGACAACCGCTGCTGCCTCTCCCCTCCCTTCAGGCTTCAGCACCACCACACCCATCCGCGCCCCCCTACACAGCTTGTGCTCATCCATGTAGTGTAGGGTGTAGCTACCCACACCCAAGGCGCTTTCTCCTTCTTACTATGCCGATTCCGCCGTCTGCACTACATACCCACCAGCCCACCGCCCGCCTGAGCTAGTGGCCAGCCTGTGTGCATGCAGTATGTAGAGTAGAGTACCTACATGTAGTGTAGCTGCTAAGTTGGTAACCAATACTGTGTGTAGCAACCAGATGTATCACAAGTACGCAGGTCAGGGCAGGTAGGTATGCGCGGAGGGACGTTGTCATCGGTCTAACTGCCTGCTGGCTTGCCCTCACACCCACACCCCCACAAGTGCCCACACATACACACCGCACGAACCCCCTTCCCTCCCTTCTCTTTCCCTTCTTCTTCTCCTTCCTTACCCTCTCTCTCACTCACCGACAGTTGATCTCCAGGCATCGTGATCTTCCTTTCTTTTTGATCCTATACTCTTTAACTTTGCACGCCTTTTTCAGGTTACAGCCTCACTCTTTCGGCTGTCCTAGACGCTCTTTTTTGGCACTCATTCGAACAAGGTAGAGTAGTCTCATTCCTTGTAGGCTATTCAGCTAGACATCATCCGACTATTCACGACTTTGTCGCTCCACTCGCCACCTTCTTTCCAAAACTACCCTCAGCATCCTCAACTTGTTGAGTGTATTTACACATTCTTTGGCCTTTCTTTAACCCTTTCCTTCATATTATTAAAAATCATTCTCTTCTTTTGCCCACCAGGGTTTTTCTTGTTTCGAAAGAAAATTACAACTAAACAAAAAAGAATCCTTGGATTTCTACGTCTCCGACCGGCGCGAAGTTCTTCACGATCACTACTAGTGTAACAAACTAAGAATCACAAACACGTCCTTGTGACAGTCAACTTATTTAGCAAGAAAGAAGATCAACGCAACAAACGACTCAGTACAGTTCAGGTCAACTGTCTGATTAGCATATACCATCTTTTGTCAACTACTAAGTTCGGCGTACCAACCTTCAGACAATTCGAGTGAAACAAATACTATAGGTAATCTTGGCTTCCTGGAGATAACATCGCCCGGGATCATTCCGAGGTTGATCGCGTATCACGTTGGTCATGAACTTTGAAACTGATTCGAGCGAATAGTCGCGTCTTTCTATAAACTAGTAGAGAACCACACTATACAGGATGTCTTCATTGACTTCTCCTTCTCCTTCTCCCCCTCATCAGCAGCTACATCAGACAAATGGCTCGCGACGACCACCAAGGAAGAGCACACTTACGCAACAACAGAAAAACCAGAAACGTCAGAGAGCGACGCAGGAGCAACTCGTGACCCTGGAAGCCGAGTTCAATAAGAACCCTACGCCAACAGCCGTCGTGCGTGAACGTATTGCTCAGGAGATCAACATGACTGAACGTTCAGTTCAAATTTGGTTTCAGAATCGGTATGTTGTCTCCTTTCCAAGGCATCTTCCATTTTCCTAATCCTAATACATGTTGGGTTTTTCTAGACGAGCAAAGATCAAGCATTTGGCGAAAAAGAGCATTGAAACTGGAGAGGACTGTGACGCGATTCCTGATTGCATGCGTCAGTACTTGGCTATGCAAGCAATGGAAAATGGAAAGGGATATCCTCGTGACATGATGGCAGACCGTTCCCGAAGTCTTTCAGCCTACGGCAACGGTAACATGATGTTGACTCCTGAACCAAGTCCCCAAGGAAAGATTGGTAAGTGAAAGGATTCACCTATTACCTGGGCGGAAAACTTACTAGATTAGTTATCCACCATTTTACCTGTCGATCATTGACCATTGGTTCCTGGCGCCGCGTCGGTCAGAATGCGATGGATCTTGTTATCTTCTACTCACCTGAAAAGGCGTGTATTACTTACTATATCAACAATGACTCCGCTGGTTATAAGATTGAATATCCTTTCTCGTCTATCAAAAACATCGAGCTCGAGGGATTGGACTCACCCACATCTGCCGCCAATGGAACACAGAAGCAGGGGCAGCTTGTTATCAGTCTGACCCAGCCACCGAACTTCTTCATGGATTCGTCCGGCTCCGGGGGGTTTTACCAATGCCGTGATTTTACAGAAGATCAGCAAGCTTCCCAAGTTTTGGTCCACCAACTTGGGGGGCCCCCTAAAGTACTCCAGGGTCAACTTGCAAAGTTGATGACATCAGAATCTTTTGCCAACAGACACAATCACCCTCCTGCGCACATGACGTTTTACGAGCACCCCACCCTATCGGTTTCTGCTCCTGTCTCTCCACAAATTATACGCCCTGCTTCATCAAACGATGTCGATTCACTATCGGTATACCCCCAGGATCCCACATTTAGTCACAACTTCCACCAAAAGCATCGCCGAACAAGGAGTAGATCCGTACCGAGCGCCATTGACTTTTCACAGTACAATATGCCATCCTTCTCTTTCCAGGACCCACAGGATCATCTCTACGCCCCAGCGCCGCAACATCCTCACTCTTTGGTCAATCCTGGGCTTTCGAATCCTCTACGTATTGACACATCCTCATCAGGTTTTCTCGATTATAGACCTGGCTCAGCCTACCCTCTTTCTGCAGCCACCACAACTTCACCCTCTGATTATGCTAGTCCATCAATGCTCAATTCTTCTTTACAGCCTGATATGAATGGAAACGGCTACGGTACCCCCTACAGTTTGCCATTCTTATCGCCAATGATTGATCCCACAGGGGTCATCAATCCTTCAGTCTCTCCAATTTCAATGGGTCATGGTGATCCTGTAATTGCAAGCGCTTCACCACCCTTGTCACACATGCACCGCGCGGATAGCTCTGAGCTATTTCCAGAGACATATGATCACCACGGAAATCTTTCGGATGATGGTGTTGGTTTAAGCGAACTATATTCAAAGCAATCATTGACCATGTCAGGCAGCTCTCCATCGGCACTTGACGATTCAGACGAAGTAGACATGCAGCACATGATGCATTACCCGATGTCCCAAGGTGTTTCGCCTCAAGGGAATATGATGTAATGCGATTATTCTTTCACGCTACGGTACCGCGCAGTACAGACAAATCGTCCTCTGTCAAAGTATTCGTCTATTTCTTAGCTATTGGGTTTCATCTCATCTCAGTTTGTTTTTCTTTTTTTTCATATGACTGCCCTCGTGTTTTCGTCGTGTAACTTTGAATGATCATCAGAGGAGTGTGGGATCCGGGTTTGGTACACAGAGAGAGCGGGTCTCTCTTGAACTTCAACGCTTTTCTATCTCGTTAGTTTTTTTGTTATCTCCTTTTTCTTTTTCTATATTTTTTTTTTGCCCTGTTCCCTCTCTACATTGAACAGGGCTGGGGTTTCTCAGGTTGGGTTATGGGGATCTGCTTGTGGTATTCGGTGGTAACGGCTTTTATTTTCTTGTAATAGTAAGCCCATAACCAGAAAAACCTGTGGAACTATAGGGAGGCGTTCTGTCGGGCTTACTGGAAAGCAATGGGTAGGGAATCCTCAAAAATATTACGCCCTTCTATTAATAACCTTTCTTTATTATTGCCTCCAGAGTTTATCACTTTGTGGCGCATTGTTTAGTTTATAATTTCCATTTCTCTCTTATCGGATTCATGTTGCATTTTTTTTCTCCGGGTCCTTTATATACAGTTTTTTCTCCAGCCTTGTAGGCTCTGCAACAAGAAGAGTTCGCTGGCTGATTTTCTATTTCCTTATATTGCTTTATTTTCCTTTGTCGCACCTGTCCTTTTCCTTTTCAATGTTTGGGGGTTAAATAGTACGTATTACTTACTGATTGATATTGAGTAGTATCTTCCACACGAGTGACCTTTTTGCTAGATTCCAGTAGAATATAAATCGTTGTGGAGTCCAACCTAGTGTAAATAAATAAATGCCTAGATAAGATATTAAAGATACTAGCTCGATCCCCTGGTAATTGTTACTACAATGCTGTGCATTTATTCATTGCAAAACTTATCTCTCTGGGCTACTAATGTCGGGCAATTAAAATTTCGTCTATAAAATAAAGTGTTCTAGAGTAAATCCTTGGTGACTACATGTACCGTTAATCGTAGAGCCGACCGACACGGACCGAGTGGGCATATGTATGCATAATGTATATACGATATATTATCCAATTCAGACTCTACTTACCGTACTGGAAAGGGCACGACGGGTTTGGTAGAACCAAACTTCGGGAGGAAGAATTGGTTTCCGCGACAGGATCACAATGTATCACTCGATGGGACTATTTCCAAAGTAACTTGCGAGTGACATTTTGGGACCGCGCGCCATGTCAACCATCTAATGACATTGGAAATAAATACAAGTTTAGGTATATATGCTCGCTATCTCGGGTTTATAGAGGGTGTTAAATAACAATATATCACCTAGCACCCTACCTTAAATAATCTATTAGAAACGATATTTCGTAGGAAGTTACTGAGGGGTGTTAGAGTTAGACCTAGATACGCTTACAAAATCTTCGAGGGACGAAATAGATAAGTCTGCTCCACGTAAGGTGTGGGGTCGGTTCTCATAATTTTTGAATTAATTTCTGGAAACCCTCGAAAGCAATAAACTCTATACGCTTTTGGGTAAATCTTAAAAACATAAAAACAACTGTGGTCCCAAGTCAAACTAGCAGAAATTATTATTTGAAATAGCTCACCAATAGCCCTTGAATGGACTAATCTATTCTGTCATGTTCGACAGTGAATTCCCCTGTCGCCTCACTTTCTATTACCGCGTCTAAAGTCTCACTCTCATTATTAATGAAGAGAAAGGCGACGAGGACTAGCGCCGCTCCAACCCAATAAAGAAATTTTGGAGAATTTTGATGTAAGAGCATTTGTCCCAGCAGCGCGAGGGGGATAGTCAAGCTGAGACCAACAGTGACGATGAGGGGAGTTGTAAGGAGCATGGCATATGCCCAACAATAGTCAGAAACAAGAGTTATAAGTGCGTTGATCTAGATAAAACGTTGGTTGAGTCTATGCAATTAAAGTGTAGATGGAAAAGATGACGCTAGGGGTTCAAGAGGGGGTGGGAATAAACTAACGGCAACAATCCACCATACTCTATTATCTGGCGGCAGCTGGAATTTCTCCACCCCCATGGCATGTAAAAGTAACAGGCCGGGCCATAGACCAAGGAGATTAAATAGACCAACGAAACCGAAAAACATTTGCATTGAGACCCTGCTTTCATGCCCAACGCGTACCTTGAGCAGTGTAGTGTAGACCCCGTATGAAAAAGCTCCAAATAATGCCATGCCATCACCAAGCATGATTTCCGCTGGTGTTTTATCATATTTACCTGCTACTGATTCCTTGTGGCTGTCGAAATCGATACTGGATATGAGTGAGATACCAGCGATCGAGAGAAACACTGAAAATAATTTTGTCCAAGAGAATCGTTCGATCCTGAGAAGGGCACTAAGGATTAAAGTAAAGATGCCTGATAATATTCACCAATCGCGATAATGTGGATTAGCACAGCTCCATCTGGCAAGATTTAACTGAGAGAGCGTGGGGAAAGTACTGCTGGTACAACTTAAGATGGTCGAACTAGCTACTGACGTCCATTTTAAGCAGTAGCTTTGAAAATAGTTTGCCTGTGAATACCACCAAGTCAGCAACCCTTAAATTTGCCCTCCAAACAATAATACGGAGGTCAAAAACACACAATAAACCACATCAAACAAAATTCAGCACTCAACCTCATGGTCTCCCTAATTCCCAATTTTCCCGCCCTGCCAGGGGCGTTCGCCGCATCTTCCGACTGTTCGCAGTCTTGCGTAACTGGACGATATTCACAACGTCCCAGAGCGCCCTCCACCCAACCCTCCGCATCATCGTTTCTCCATCGGGCGAGCGCTTTCCTCGATGCCCATGGCATCAAATAGAAGCAGAACACCGATGTATTGAGGTATGTCACAAAATATGGCTTTGTATAAGAGTCATCAGAGAATATAGCATAGGTCAAGAAGGAGCTGGAAACCCAGAGGACAATGACAACTGATAACAGTAGAATCCCGAGTCTTTTCCGGGTGGAGCGATCTTAGAAAGTTGAAGTGAGCGTTTCGAGGATTGGTCACATTCTACTTTACTTTATATTCAGGTATAAACATACCGATATGGGCTTGCTTCATGCGGCGTATATTTATTGCCATCTCGTTATTTAATAACGGAGTGTCAGACTCGTTGGGTGGTGAAGGTTCTCTGCTAGTCATAACTGTATGAATATCAGGGTGTCTGAATGTGTATGGGGTGGAGCTGGGGTCAATCGATGGAGGATGGATTATGTAGGTATATGTATATGTAGAGTATGTACTGGGTACTTCAGGCGGGTTGCATGTGAATCATCGTCGAATGACTTGAGCTCAAACAATCTGATAAGATCTAACGCGTTTCACTGAAAAGCAACCATCCCAGAGCCTGAATCTCCCCCGCTGTCCTCCACAAAGCTCCAGTATGATGCTTGGGTCCTTTATGAAGTAAAGGTATTGAAAAGTAATTTAACCATAATAGCTCAATCACTTCAGATTCAATCATAACACACTTGAGGTGTCTGAACTAGCCGATTGGGACCTTGAAGTCAACACAGAGGTGACGGAACTTGATACTCCTCCCCAGACAGAGCCTACTGCTGAGCCATCCGCCGAGCCCCTTGCCGAACATCGCCCTCTGCTAAGGACCTCGTCGCGAATCACGTGGTAAGCCAAATCTAACGAAGATTGATTACTAATATTAGGCCAGCCGCTACTTAGCACTCTAGGTATCTTAAATTCGCCATCAAAAGGTTAGGCTCTGTTCGGACGGACGTCAATACCATGGTATTCACCCCGAGTAGGAAGGTGTGTAAGTCAGTGTAGTATTTGAGTGTTCGGATGGCCCAAATTATTGGTTTTGATACCATGAATACGCCACAAAATACCATGGTTTTAACAAATACCTCTGGAGGTATTTATTTCCCGTTGTCTCGTATCTTCATGCCTCTACCCAACAATATCTCAACTCCATCCGAACACTTTTGTCTTCGGCGAATACTCGGTTTTATCTCAGAGCATTCAAATTGTCTGTTTTTGTTTGCATGTCATACCCTAACCCTGCTACGTTACACGAAAGAAGTTCCTGCTACCTGCCTGTTGCAGCCTGGGAAACATGGATGGTGAAGCTATGTACCTACACTGTGTGTATGCCTCGTACCTCAGGAAAATATGAAATCTCTTCGTGGGAATGAGAGTAGGTACATGTACTTATCAGAAACATATATTATGGTATCTTGAGCGTTTTCCCTTCGAGGATGGTGGGGTCCGCTTACTAATTCGTCACCTGGTGGGAACTGTACCTCTCTAAAGTAGGTACTTATAAGTAGACCTACGTCGTGTGGATACATATAGTACTGGTACCCAATCAACTACACCACATATCTGTTCCCACAAAGACCTACAACCATACTACCCTATTAAATAAACGATTCACTATGACAACAGTTTCTTCAACATTATCCTCCTCTCATATTTCGTCCTCATCGTGGAGAATAGATTTCTTGAGCTCTCTTGCCCAGCGCGATAAACGAGAGAAGTCTCATGATGATTTTATCTCTGCTTGTCCTCTCCCCTTCCCTTCTCATTCATCATTGAAAATATCCACCAAAAACTCTTAAGATTCGTGGATAATCTAACATACATGTTATAAATTAGACTCTCGTCTAGCGTCACGCACCACCTCAATTCACGAGTCTTCCGCTTCATCCAAAGATGCTTCTAATGCACTCGGGGAAGGAGTCCTAGAAGGCGGCGACCTAGGCGGGGCTGCCGCAGGACTTACCCAGCTAAAAGCCGACTTGAGTGCCGCACAACAGACCAAAGCTCACTTACAATTGAGTCTCAAAGCGGTGGGTGAAGAGAAAGACACGCTTCAGAGAAAGCTTGAGCAGCAAGACCGCATAATTTTAGAACGGAACCGACTAGATCGAAGAACTAGAGACTTAGAGGAGGAAGTCCGAGCTAAAAACAAACATATCCAGGTTAGACCATCCTCACCCCAATACACCTACTGTTATACTTCCCTTCCATGTTGAGTTCTAATATTCTCGGATGCTAATCACCATATAACGTTTACAACTTGGAACCTAAAAGGAGCTACAAGATGAAATCTTGACCCTTACAATGGAACTGAACATGCTGACTAAGAGAGAAGAGGCCGTGCGGAAGGAGAATAAGGAACTTGTCGATCGATACATGGCTGAGATGGCAAAAAAGGCTGAAAGCATGAACCGAGAATCCAATTGGGAATAGATTGCTTTTCTAATAATTACATGTAGATCATCGATTCTTGGCAAGATATGGTTGACTAGGGCTTGGTATTACAGCATTTTCTCAATGGCTTCCGCTTATGCTCGTCGCCTGAAGTACACCAGGCCCGATTTTTCATCAATTTTATGATTATACTGGGCTTCACAACCTTGGAAAGATGCGTTGATTATTATTAGTAGAAATACTCTAAAAACCCAGCGCATGCCTGGATTATCAATTAGTAAAGTCATGCGAGAAAATATTTAGCATTGGGAACGCCGCATCGCTATTGTACAGCAGGTAAAAAAGTAGAAGAGGTATATTACAATTCCTGACCCAATTCCACGAACTCCATGGCTATGTAGTATCCATTAAACAAGCGTTTAGACCACAGGAACGATCACCTGCGAGACTCTCGTAAGGGCAAAAGAGACGAAGCTTAGATAAGAATGTAGATACGAAAGGGATGACAAGAACAATCACCTAACTATTGAAATGCGGTACCGCGGCGGTCGATAAACTTTCAGTCATCGAGGGTTTTCAGACTGTTTGGCTCTTTTCCTTCTCATAGAAATCTCTCAACATGCTTTCATCGACAGTTTGGATGTAATACTTCCCACCAGCATGTGTCCACGAAACCGAATTGGAGAAATATTCCTTTTCCTCCAGTCTGAGCCTACTAACAGGATTTCCAGCTGTGCGCGAGGTGATAACATGATTGGCAGGGACGAATGGTTTTAGTGAAAGTATTTTTGCCCCTTCTTTCAAGTCCAAGAACATGTCGAGTAAACGTTGATTCAGACTCGAGTCAAAGACGTAATTGTTGACCAACTTTATGTAGAAGAATTGTTAGGTGGAGAACAAAAAATAATAATAAAGCCTTGCTAATGCCTATGAAAATAAGGGATGATAAGAGCCTCACCAATACATCGGTTCTTTTCAGGATGTCAGCAATTCTTCGATTCTCAAGAAAATCGCCTCTTTCGAGTCTCACTTTTCCAGGGTTGACTCCCCACATCTTACAGCGGGCCTCAAATTCTTTTTGCTGCTTCTGCGCAAGAGCAATAGCGTTCGGCATGATTTCACAGCCCCAGCTTTCGCATCCTATTTCTAGAGCCGCATGGAGCACGACATTTCCCGTTCCACTCCCGAGATCCACAAAAACCTTGTCCATTGTCAAATCGGCATCCTTAAACAGCTTCGTTGTAAATTTAGGCAAAAGTTCTCCGTAAACTGTGCTCGAGAACGCAACATACTCTTTCAGAGTATCTACCTGAGGGGCTACAGTACGGGCATACGTCTGAGCAAGTATATGCTCAACTAGTAAGAACGGAAGCGCACCCATCTCCGCGATCCTTGTTTTGAAAGTTCCATCCTTCCGGTATTTTCGCACAAGGCGATTATACTTTTCGATGCCTTCGTGAAATTTGGCCGATTCACCATTTTTCAAAGCACGTCGCAGGGAATACACTAAGCCACCGGATGTCTCAGAAAATATCTCATCGGCTTGTGGGTCGGTGAGGAGGTGGTTTGCAACATGCTCCATGGTGGTTAGAATGTCTGCTACCGGGTTAAACTCATCTGCATCGGTGTGCTGCACAAGCTGATACCTATGCGATGTCTTTTAGAAACCGTTCTTAGCAGACTAGTTTCGGAGTATATTTGTTACCTCTCAGATTGCGATATTCCAGGGTATTGGAGCTTGATATCTAACAACTTATTGTCTGATTTCTTGAAGACTACATCCTCGGAGCCATTAGTCGTACATTCTTCTCAATGGAGGTTTGATATATCAAGCATACCGCGCGTACTATTCTTTCCCCAGGTCTTATTGCCAATGCTGGCGATCTGATCCGCATGAACAAAGGAGCTATTCTCTAAATTCGTTGATGTTGAGATACTCCGAAAGCTCAGTGGGTTCACTAGATTCCTGTTACGGGATTGTGTTGGAGCGGCAGGCGATACGCTCTTGTAACGCTTGGATGCTCGTTCGTCGGTATTGTCGCCATCGCTGGAACTTTCGTCACTTGACTCGAGGCGTAAAGATAATGGCGATCTTGAAGAAGAATGTCTGTAGCGGTTTCTCGAGGATGCTAGCGATTCAGGACTGGGAGGTTTCAGTAAATCTGGCGTCGATGAAGAAGGGCCTTTAGACTGCTCAAAATGTTTACGCTTCCGGGACGAAGATGTCAGGCGTTTAGAACTAGGATGGTGCAGCGGTGTAGTCCGACCGCTATCACGCTTCGACTCCCCATCCCCCCTCGCTGCAGAAACAGATCTGTTTGGTAGAAGGTCTGTCGGTTTAGACTTCGGTTCGGAGGCTACCTTAATAGTCTTCACCGTAAACTTCTGAGGAGTGATTGGTGTCGTTCCGGTCTTATTGAACTTGGCGAAAAAACTCATGACAGTTAAAGATACGATCAAGAGATAGTTACACGTTAGAGCAGGGGTTCTTCGGTTGAGAACAAAGCGGGACCGGAATAGGATTGTGGCGAGAGGGAGGAATATATTTCAGTACGAGGGTGTATTGGTATGGGCTTCTTTCCTATCCTCAGATATATTTCAGCGCAGCACCAGTCGTTATTCGTGAATGGTGTAGACGTATGGAGGGAACGATGCGATGGGATGCATGTAACGAGACCGAAATTGAAACTGCTGATAGATGGAGAGGCAAATCTAGCTGAAGAGAGATAAAGGGGAAACACAATGGAACACGCGTAGAAGCTTCGCGGCTATTCTTTGTATCCTTGCAACGAAAAAAGAAGCTCAAATGTAATCGGTACTTCTACCAATATCGCTTTGAGATAATTTAACAGAAATTGATCTTGGAAGCAAAAAGAAATCCGGAGAGGACTGACCATGACGATTACTTCTACCTATGTACTATAAATGATTTCACGGCGAAAAGAAGTAAAAATAAGATAAAAAACAAAAATAAATAAATAGATACCGTGGGGAAACAATTGTTTGTAGGTATACTGCCATTGTAGTAGTCGCACCTCGCCGCCTGCAGCGTGGTTCCTCCACCAAAAATCATTTCCCATCTCGGATTTGGGTTCTTTACGGATCATATGGGAATCAAGAATAGGTTGCCTTGAGTGCATATATAAGTACTTGCTACATAACTCGGAATTGTTAGTGACAACAGTGCCGTACATAAGCTAGATCAACTCTTGTGAGATAGGGTGCGATAGTGGGTTGGTCTCGGCAAATGTAAAATGCTGTGGATGATAAACAAACGAGTGCTCCTTGATGATTTATAGGGGATTTAAGTTTGCCAATTTGTACCTGCCTACCATCAAAATCGTATTAGTGCAAAAATCACAAAAAACAATACTGTTATAGCCTAGAGGCGGTGTAGTAGCCAATTAACATTTTATTCTACAGCCTCTGATTGAAATTATTTTGCGAGTTAGTTAAAAAGATAAATTGATATGCTTGTACAATGTGTAACGGGGGTCTCTTCTAAGAGAAATAGAATAGGATAGAATAGAGACGGCCGTACAAGATAGACAATCAGGTTGCAGATTGTTCAAAGATACTATCGCTAGAACTCAATAATCTTTAAGGGCTCTGTGTGAGGGATGCGTACCAGACCACAAGAGTACACTACGCAGAGCTCAGAGTTCGGCTAACAGCTACAAAGGTAGAAGTCTCCAAGGTCTCTTCAGTCAACGTCGAGTATGAATCTCCTTGGTCCGATACGGGCCCCGCGAGCTACGTTATCAACAAAGATTCACTAGAGTTAGCGTATAGTATTCGACCGTCTTCGACGTAATAGTTCAGGTAGAGTTCGAAGTCACGACAGAGTAAAGTATTTCCAAAAGTATAGTCAAAATAAAGTTGTAACTCGCGTATCAACGATTTATATTGTTAAGACACTGATTTCGCCGATGATGGTTTAGCTAGTCAGTGAATGACACAGTGTTTATATCCCTCGCTTATGTCTCGAGGACCCAGTCTACTAATAATACAGAATACACTCAGGGCCTACCCGAGACCCTGAAAAACAATCAAGAACATTTAACTCCTAAGTCCGTAACCCAAACTCCTAAACCCGCTGAAACCCCTCAACCTATTTATCCACTCCAATGCACGTTTCCCTGTCGATGTTTCTTCTCCATCGGCCCTCTGGTGGATAATCGTCAGCGTCGGCTATTCGGAGATCTCGGACGGCAAGGCTACCTACTTAGGCCTCTTCCCACATCGCTTTCCCACATAGCAGAGTCGTCTCATGCCCACAGGTACCGCCGATAGGTACTCGGTCGGCTGGTAGCTTACGCCGATTCGCTCCGGGTGATTCGATCTTCGATCCGATTGATTCCAGCTATCCCTCATATATCCACCGGTCCAAAAGCACTCCCCTCCGGCGGTTTGATGCTCCGGGGGTTATTATTGGGGTCGAAAATGTATTTTTTAACTAGGAAAACCGCAACTCCGCATTTGATCGCATATCGATCGCACCACACCTCGTGGATGCGAACCGGAGTTGATAGTGGTGTGGCCATTAGTATCAAAGGGTATTGGGGTATCTACTAGCCTTTCTCTTACTCCCGTAAATACTTGGCATGCCCGTAACAGCTTACCCCCCTTCCAGGGTGTCACGTCTCGGGACATCTTCTGACAGACTATGGTTCCAGTAAACCTGCTCCACATATCACCCGCGGTGTCTGTGGAGGGGAAGGACTTAGCCCCGTGGGGTACCTTTATAGTCTCAGGCGTTGGTCCTTCACGGCCTTGGGGTTCCTTCGATGGAAGTCGTGGACAAGGTCAAGTACCTCCTCATCCATAGCGTCCATGACTTGGTACGTACAGTCACTCATCGAATAGCCCCGCCATTTCACCAGGTATTCCACTAATCCTCTCCTGCTCTTTCGACTTCCCACAATACTTTCCACTTCATATAGAACATCTCCTTCCTTATTGACCTCCTCGGGAGTCGGGGGACGTTGTTCGCGGCCTGGGATACTGCTCTGTCGGTAACGTTCCAAGAGTTCGATGTG